TTTCTCAGTTATTAACAGTTATTAATCACAATTCATGATAAAAAATAAATACAATTTTTTAAAAATAAAACTTGAGAGAGGGAGACAGAAAAAAGGAGACACACAAGGAGGGAGAGAGAGGCAGAGAGAGAGAGTTACACAGAACAGAAGAGAGAGAAAGAGAGACAGTGACAGAGAGAAAGAAAGCGAGAGAGAGAAAGAGAGAGAGACTAATGAGCAGACAGAAGGAGGGGCCGTCTTGTGGACGTGTGCCATTCAAGTTGGCGTGTGTGTGTGTGTGTGTGTGCAGTGTGTGTGGGCGTTGTTTATGTTTGTGTGTGTATGTGTGCGTGTCCGTCTGTCCGTGTCCTTGGAGATACACATCTTCCCTGACAAGGTGACACACACACACACACACACACACATGTTGACCCACCTGTGCTGTGCTGGAGTGCAGATGGAGGCTGAGATGCAGCTCAAACAGCAGCCCAACCCCCCACCCCCCACTCTTCCCCCCAGGGTCTCACCACCAAACACAGCCATATGGATCACACTGTAGTGAGCAGGAGTGAGCCAAACCGAGCCGCTGATGCACACACACACACACTAGGGCTGCCACAATTACTTGATCATAATCGATTACCTGATTTAAAAAAAATAATTGATTAGAATTTGCCTTGTTGATGAATCAGCTTCATGATTAGTTCACAGTTTGAGTAATAGGCACAGTTATTCTTGATAGTAGACTTAATTTAATGTGGCCTCATTGAAGTGCACAGTGTTAGATTGCTTGTAGAATGTGGCATTATTTGTATTTAGACTGCTAAATGAGCTCGTAACTCAGAACATCCAGTAACAATCAGTGGGAAAATGTACACAGCGATTTTTCAAAAAACAACAACTTTTGCAGCCACTCTTATTGTGGCGTGTGTCCAGATCCTGACAAGAAAATCTAAAAAAAACAGTAACGCTTTATTTTGTGGTCCTTTGTAGATGATTAATAAACTCCTAACAGATTATCAGTAACACAGCAACTACATATCAGAGAAGTAGAAGTAGAGCAGCATCTGAATACACTGAAGGAAATATCTTGTAGATGTTCTGTTGATACATTGTTTACATTAAGTAGATGTAAGTATTAACATGTTTTGTTAATATGTTACTTCCATTACACAAAACCCAACCTTACCCAAAACCTAACCCTCATCCTGACCCTAATCCTAACCCTAACTTTAACCTTAACCCAAAACCTAATCCTTATCCCAAACCTAGTCCTTAACCTCAACCCAGAACCTAATCCTAACCCTGGCCCTAATCTTAACCCTAACAGTAGCCTCAACCCAAAACCTAATCCTAACCCTCACCCTGGCCCTAATCCTAACCCTAACCGTAACCTCAACCCAAAACCTAACCCTAATCCTAGACCTAGTCCTTAACCTCAACCCAAAACCTAATCCTAATCCTAGCCCTTAACCTCGACCCAAAACCTAATACTAACCCTAACCTTAACCTCAACCCAAAACCTAATCCTAACCCTCACCCTGGCCCTAATCCTAACCCTAACCTCACCCCAAAACCTAATCCTAATCCTAGCCCTAGTCCTTAACCTCAACCCAAAACCTAATCCTAATCCTAGCCCTAGTCCTTAACCTCAACCCAAAACCTAATACTAACCCTAACCTTAACCTCAACCCAGAACCCTAATCCTAACCCTAACCGTAACCTCAACCCAAAACCTAATCCTAATCCTAACCCTAGTCCTTAACCTCAACCCAGAACCTAATCCTAACCCTGGCCCTAATACTAACCCTAATCTTAACCTCACCCCAAAACCTAACCCTAGCCCTCACCCTGGCCCTAATCCTAACCCTAACAGCCCCCTCAACCCAAAACCTAATCCTAATCCTAACCCTAGTCCTTAACCTCAACCCAAAATCTAATCCGAAATCTCACCCTGGCCCTAATCTTAACCCTAAACTTAACCTCAACCCAAAACCTAATCCTAACCCTCGCCCTGGCCCTAATCCTAATCCTGATCTTAACCAAAACATAATCCAGTTAACCTCCAGGTACAGAATGGTGTGAGCAGTTTGTCTGTAACAGTTAATGATGATATATTGTGTTTTGGTTTGTTGGTCAACCATCATGACCACACTGGGTGACCAGCTAAACCAGCATGGAATTCATGTTGGTCCGTGCTGGTCTTTTCAGCAGGGTTCCTCTTTCTGTGCGTACAGTAACGACTAGTACACAAATAATTTTTGAATAAGGCCTTAACAGTTGTAATACTGAATTTGACTGCAGTGCCCATCCCTAACAGTGACAGCCCGAACACACATACACTTAATCAGAGCGGTGTTAAAGAGGTGCAGCCTGGCATGGTGTGTTCTGGCACAGCGCAGCTACACACTCAGGTTATTAGTGTAAAGTAGGTCAGTTTGCTCCGTGTGTGTGTTTCATGAATTTGGCAGCGTTCTGGCTGCTGTTGTGAACCTGCCGCATGTATCAGGCCAGCAACTCATTTGGACTGCAGAGACTTCCTGCGTGTGAGTGTGTGTCCACAGCCTCATTAGTACTATATGTAAATGAGCTGGCGAAGGTCCAGAGGGTCATAGCTGCAGCAGTAGAAAATAAAGGACTGGCATGAGAGTGTCGAATATGGGCTGAACACTAAAGGGGTGTAGTTGAATACTCAAACAAATTGACAGAATAATGAGTGAGCGCACTTTGACAAAATAATAGGCTTTAAGTTGGCAGATATAATTCTAATCTCCGCTCTGTCTGCTGTGTGTGTGTGGTTGTTTTTAGACATTTTCAGGACTTTGTATTCAAACCAAGGATAAACTATGTGTGTGTATATTTGTTTATACTTACATTACAACATATGTATACAATATATATATACACACACACATACATACATACATATATATATATATATATATTATATATATATATATATATATATATATATATATATACAATGCCATTTCCAAAAACAGTTGGGACGCTGTGCAGAATGCACAGAAAAAAATTAAAAAATAAAATGCAATCATGTGCAAATCATGTAAACCATATTTTTAAAGGAAAATACTATAAAGACAGCATATCAAATGTTGAAACTGAGAAATTCCTCTACAAAATCATGTCTGTTTTTAATGCAGCGCCGCCTGAGGGCCCAAAGATCACGTCCAGCAAATACTGGTTTTTGGCCTTGTCCCTTACATACAGAGATTTCTCCAGATTCTCAGAATCTTTCAATGATATTATGTTCTGATGATGAAAAGCAAAAGTTCTTTGCTATTTTATGTTGAGAAACGTTATTTTTGAATTATTTTATCATGCAGACATCACAGAGTTGGGAACCCCTCCTCATCTTTACTTCTGAAAGCCTCTCTGAGATGCTCTTTTATACTTTTTTGGAACGTCTTGCTGACATCAAATTCAAAATGGGAAAATATTTTTCAATAAACAATAAAATTTCTCAGTTTCAACATTGATACGTTGTCTTTGTACTATTTTCAATCAAATATAGAGTTTAAGTAATTTTGCACATCATTGCATTTTGTTTTTATTAACTTTTTGCTCAGCGTCCCAACTTTTTTGGAAATGGGATTGTATATATATGAAGTAGTACAATATGCAAATTGCAAATGAGCTTCTAACCGTGACATGTTTTCCTGTGTGCTGTAAGCATTCTGACCAGTCGCAGATAAACACTGTGTGTTTGGATGAATTGAGGTGGTCACATAATTCAAATAAGTTCTGGTCAACAGTAATGCAGACCATCACATCAGTGGTGCGCTAAAGTGTTTTCAGTATCTTTAAAAGTGATATTTTTCCCAATATAATTCAGCCCTAACACTTACACACACACACACACACACACAGCCGTCCACACACACACATTTAATCTCCATTAAATTGTGTCAGTGTGACTTTTAGAAAATGACATTTCTATACTTTACATTCTACAGCCTGTCCATTTACATCAGCACCAGTTTATCTACTGTATTTTTGAAAGAAAGAGTTTTAATTAGCTTGTTTTTATAATCCAGACCAGCATTTAAATATTTTAGCCAACACTTTTTTGTTATTTTATACACAATAATAACTTGTGGATTTCAATTTTATAAACTATTTGCCAAAAAAGGTATTTTAGATTTAATATTTTAGGAATAGAATAATAAATAAATTACTTTTATTGTTTATTTGCATACATGTTTTGTCCAGTTATCTGCCTTGGAGACTGGATCTCCACTTGAAATATGATGAACTGTGGGTGTTAGTTTTATTAGAACCTATTTGTCAGAGTTCTAGAGCGTTCTCTCTCATTTTACAATCTTCTTCAGCTCTGTTCTTTATACTGGCCACATCTAACATTTCTACAGGTTTATATTCAGTTTCCTAGTGTCCTACTAATTATCTGAAAACTGAGACAGTGTACAGGTTTAGTGCACTGGGATCATTTTACATGTTTATCTACAACCAGATTCATTGTATACATTGAGGTTTTGAACAGTGATTCCAAACTTTTCAATGATACTGTATGTTGTTGCACTCTTGCCTTGTTTTGCATTTCAGTTTTGTGGTATTATTTGTAGCATAATGAATCAAGGTGCAGGTGCTCAGCCTTGGAGTGGAAAATGCTCTCTCTCTCTCACACACACACACACACACACTCCATCCGAGTGAAAGACAAATACAAAGCGAGCGCATGTCAGAACTAATATGGTTCGTTCCCTCACATGTATTAACATCACCAAACACACACACACACACACAGGCCTGTCTTTCTCTCCAGGTGAGTGCATGTCTGTCTGTCCCCACTCCTTTAACTCTCGCTCCATTCATCCTTTCATCCATGCATCCACTTTCACTCTCTTTATTTCTCCCTCAGTTCTCTGCTGTGTGTGTGTGTGTGTGTGTGTGTGTGTGTGTGTGTGTGTGCGTGCGTGTGTGTGTGTTTTGTTTTGGGTTGTATGTCCATGCGTAAAAGGGTGGTTATGTCTCTCCTGTAGGCCAGAGAGGAGGAGGCCTCCACGCAGCACAGCTTGTCCAAAGACACGCCCAGACTTGTCCTCAAGACAAACAGCGATGCGCTTGTAAGACATTTTAACACCCCTGACCAGATCAGTGACCCAGATCTATAATCAAATAGCCTGTGTCTCAATTCTGGCACTATACACTATGTTATTACACTATACATTATGTTATTACACTATACACTATGTTATTACACTATACACTATATTCTTGCACTACACACAATATTTCTACACTACTTCACTATTTAGTGCCTAAGCAGTCTTACATTATACACTTTGTGCTATATTCTTGCACTATACACTATGTACAGTATTCTTACACTATATTTTTACACTATATACTATGTACTTCACTATCTAGTGCATATGTACTCTTGCACTAAACATTATGTACTGTATTCTTACACTAAACATTAGATACTATATGCTTTAATCATGCAAAGGGTTCTTTTAGTGTTCATGGTTCTGTATAGAACCATTTTCTTTACTTGAAGCACCATCTTTTTTAGGAGTGTATACATTATGTAATGTATTCTTATACTATACTTTAGATACTACATGCTTGCAGTATACACTATGTATTATATATCTACACGACACTCTTGAAAAACGATGGTGCCTCAAGGGTTCTTTAGTAAAGAAAATGGTTCTATATAGAACCATGAACACTTTTCATGACAAAAGTGCTCTTCAATCATGAAAGGGTTCTTCGGATTGATGGAAAATGTGCCTGAGTGTACAATAGAACCTTTTTGAAAAAGGTTCTATATAGCACCCAAAAGGGTTCTTCTGTTGTTACAAGCTTGACACCGTAACAATAAATGAACCCTATTGAGTGCTATATAGAACCATTTTCAAAAAGGTTCTATGTAGAAAATGGTTCTATATAGCACTCTAAAGGGTTCCTCTATTGTTACAAGCTTGACACCGTAACAATAGAGGGAACCTACTGAGTGCTATATAGAACCATTTTCAAAAAGGTTCTATGTAGAAAATCGTTCTATATAGCACCCAATGAGGGTTCTTCTATTGTTACAAGCTTGACACCATAACAGTAGAAGAACCTATTTGTGTGCTATATAGAACCATTTTCAAAAAGGTTCTACATAGAACCATGTACAGCACGCTCTCCATCAATCTGATGAATCCTCTCATGGTACAAAGAACCCTTTAATCATGCAAAGGGTTCTTTTAGTGTTCATGGTTCTATATAGAACCATTTTCTTTACTAAAGAACCCTTGAAGCATCTTTTTTTAAGAGTGTATACACTGTGTAATGTATTCTTACGCTATAAATTTACACTATGTACGATATTCTTATACTACATTCTTATACAACACACTGTGTACTATGTACTTATATCCTATGTACTATATTATTACATTATGATATTTTATTTTTATATGCTTTTGCACTATATACTTATTTATGCACTATATTCTTACACTATAAACTGTGTACTATACTCACACTATACACTATGTACTACGTTCTTACACTATACAGTACACACACCCTCAGTCTCAGTACCTTATATAATATATATACATAATTACAACATAATTGTACCATAATCCACTGAAATTGTACAACCCCATTTCCAAAAAAGTTGGGACGCTGTGCAAAATGTAAATGAAAACAAAATGCAATGATGTGCAAATCATTTAAACCCTATATTTAATTGAATTGAGACAACATATCAAATGTTGAAATTGAGAATTTTTTTTGTTTTTTGAAAAAAATATGCCCATTTTGAATTTGATGCCAGCAACACATTCCAAAAAAGTTGGGACGGGGCAACAGAAGACTAGTAAATTTGTGTAATGCTTAAAAAACACCTGGTGGTTGATTGGCAACATGTCAGTAACATCACTGGATAGATAAAGAGCATCTCAGAGAGTCTTTCAGAAGTAAAGATGAGGAGGGGTTCACCACTCTGTGAAAGACTGCACGATCGAATAGTGCAACAATTCAAGAATAATGTTTCTCAACGTAAAATAGCAAAGAACTTTTGCTTTTCATCATCTACGGTACATAATATCATTAAAAGATTCAGAGAATCTGGAGAAATCTCTGTATGTAAGGGTCAAGGCCAAAAACCAGTATTTGCTGGCCGTGATCTTTGGGCCCTCAGGCAGCACTGCATTAAAAACAGACATGACTCTGTAGTGGAAATCACTGCATGGGCTCAGAAACACTTCTGAAAACCACTGTCTGTGAAAACAGTTTGTCACTGCATCAACAAATGCAAGTTAAAACTCTACCATGCAAAGAAGAAAAAATATATAAACAAGATCCAGAAACACTGCCACCTTCTCTGGGCCGGAGCTCATTTAAAATGGACTGAGGCAAAGTGGAAAAGTGTCCTGTGGTCCGACGAATGAAAATTTGAAATTCTTTTTGGAAATCATGGACACTGTGTCCTCCAGGCTAAAGACCATCAGGCTTGTTATCAGCACACAGTTCAAAAGCCAGTATTCATGATGGTATAGGGATGCATTAATGCACATGGCATGGGTGACTGGACATCTGTGAAGGCAACATTAATGCTGAATGATATTTACAGGTTTTGGCAACATATGCTGCCATCCAGATGACATCTTTTTAGGGAAGGCCTTGATTATTTGAGCAAGACAGTGTCAAACCACATTCTACACATATTACAGCAGCATTGCTACCTATTAAAAGAGTCCAGGTGTTAAACTGGCCTGCCTGCAGTCCAGACCTGTCACCACTGAAAACATATGGCACTTTATGAAACAAGAAATACGACAAAGGAGACCCCGAACTGAGCAGCTGAAATCCTATATCAAGTAACAATGGGAAAACATTTCACTTTCAAAACTACAAAAATTGGTCTCCTCAGTTCCCAAATGCTTACAGAGTGATGATAAAAGAGGAGGTGATGAAACACAGTGGTAAACATGACCCCGTCCCAACTTTTTTGGAACGTGTTGCTGCCATCAAAATCAAAATGGGCAAATATTTTTCAAAAACAATAAAAATTCTCAGTTTTAGCATTTGATATGTTGTCTTTGTACTATTTTCAAATAAATATAGGGTTTAAATGATTTGCACATCAGTGCATTTTGTTTTTGTTTACATTTTGCACAGCGTCCCAACTTGTATTTTCTACTCCACACACCCCGTCTCGTCTCCAGGCTTTTTATTTTATTGTTCTGTTTCAAAACATTCGGTTATGAAAAGGTACAAATACGAACTTTTCACCTGGAAAAAGGTTCACAATCAGACCTTAAAACCACTGTTGTATCTTTGAAGGAACATTTACATTGCATTACTATATATAGTCTCCTATTCTATACGCAATGGCTGTATTGAAGACCACCTTTGTCAAGTCCAAGACTTTGACTAGTCAAGATCGAGACAAGGCCAAGTCTAAAGGGAGCTGACAGCAAATCAACACTCTAGTCCAGATGAAAGTGATACCGAGACCCCAAATAATTTGAGTTCTCCTTGAGACCAAGCCTTAACTAATCTTTAACTGCTTCCTGTACAATGAAATAAAACACAGAGGCACAGTGATTTGATTTGCGTAAGTATGAGTCAGTGCGTGTTTAACAGTAGAGGTTAAATTTAGCGAGACTGATGACTGATACCAAGAGAAGAGACCGTGTAGATGATTATCTGGTGCCTGGATTTGTGTAACATACTGCACATAACAAAGATAACAAATTGCTGTATGATCTTTGAATGTTACTGGATCAAACTGTGGTTAGCAGTTAGCTAAAGTTAGCTGCCCACTTACCATTAGAACATTTTGAATTCCTTAGCTCTGTATTGCAAATAGCTTAAAAGTGAAATAACACAGTAGAGTGAAGGACAAAGGCATCTAAGTCACATTTAAACTTCCAACCTCTGACTTCCTCTGTTTGCTCCACCCGTTCTACTACATATGGTTGCTACACCTTGTTTCTTCTTTCAGGGTGAACTCACTACTTGTGAGAAAAGTGGCTAGTACTAGATTTGAGACACAGGGCTGCACTCATTTGCTCATAGCTGTCTGTCACATGTGATTATAGTTTGGTGAAAAATCAGTTTCCCAGTTCTCTCTGTTTTCTTTAAATGTAGTCAGTCAAGACGTGTGGTGTCTGAAGTTTTCTTTAGTTTTGCACTGGAGCTGTGAGGCTAACAGCTAACAGGGTCATTCTACAGAAACGTCCACTTTTCTGTCTGTCCATAGGAGTCCACATAATAAAGGTAACACCAGAGACATTTTAATGAAAAATGCATTTTACCAAATGTCTGCTACAGAGCATCAAACCACATGTTGTCAATCATGGAATATCCACTAAAATATGTAATTTAATCCATTTGTATTCAATTTTTTCTCAATTACCTCAGAATAAATTCGGTCACACCAGTGACTTCAGCTAAAAGCTTCATATGAAATCATGAGCTAAATGAGAAAATCTCTGATAACTGAAAGACACAGTGGACTCACCATGTGCTTTTCTTCATAGATCCTCAGAAAACAGGTAAAAGGAAGTCGAGTGATGTCATCAGTGTGACTTTTATTTCAAAATAAGAGATTTTTTGTTACGCGGTAACACCAGTGACACGACTCCTGGGGACAATAACTTTCATTATATATTTAACAATAAATAATTTATTTGGCATTTGTTTTCTTTGTGTCATTTATATATTCTATAGTCATGTATAGATTATTGTAATTAAAGTTGCAGAAAAAATTTGTTTTTTTCTTCAAAATATGGCCTCAGCCTTTACACATGACTGTGGGGACGAGCTCTTCTGTGGTGCTTGGAATTCTATATAATTGATTTAAAAACCAATATTGCTAATTTGAGGCTCAAGAAGGTGTAACTGTTAAAATAACTTTTTGCTTTATTTTAAAATATAAATAAATTGTAACACTAACATGTTTTTTAAATGTAATATATCTCTAAACACTAGGGACACAAAACTGGACGTTTCTGTAGAACAGCTAATGGAAGCCTATATGTGTCATTTGGTGTAACGTAAACCACACGCTTTGATAAAATGCACAAAAGTACACAGAATAGCTAAAAACAGTAGCAGCCATCTTTATTTTTGTACATGCGTAGGTCCACATTTATAGATAACAGTGAGTCACTCAGTGTCAGAAACAACATAATCAAGTCTGTTAAAGATACTGAAGAGCTCCACACGCTTTCAGGTAAGCGTCTAAGGATTTAAGCATGCAGTTAGCATGATGCTACTGAATGCACTATAAGCTTTCACTGCTTGTTAGCTACATTAGCCCCAAACATGTCTTGGCTGATCGACTACATTTTGGGAAAACTGTGTAAATTAGATTTTTCACTAAACTATCACTTTAAGAATCACACACTCTTTATCAAATGAACTGCATTCTGTTTTTTCATGTTTTGTTTGAACATTGTCATCCTGTATTGCATCACACTGTGTCTGTTGTGTGTGTGTGTGTGTGTGTGTGTATGTGTGGCCAACAGACTCGGAGTGGGGGGTCAGGGGTGAAGGCGCCAGGAGAGAGAGAGAGAGAGGAGTTGAGATGTAAAGCAGAGGCGCTAATGTTCGGCCCACGGCCGCAAGTTAGCGAGGTAATTACGGAGAAAAGGAGAGGAAGCGTCCGCGGACAGTCGCACCGTTGTCACGGCGATCGGCCGCGGCAGAAATAAATGACAGTAATTACGTCTAGACCGAGAGAGAGTGAGGGAGAGAGAGAGAGGTAGAGAGGGAGAGGTAGAGGAGCAAGAGAGAGAAAGAATGGAAAAGAGGAGGGGAAAAGGGAGGGAGAGGGAGAGAGAGAGAGAGAGAGGGAGATGAAGAGAAGCAAGAGAGAAGAAGAGGAGGGGAAGACAGAAGAGAGAGCTTGAGAGAGGGAGAAAGAGAAGGTGATAGAAAAGAAGGGGAAGAGAAAAGGTCAGGAAAAAACGAGCGATAGAAACGAGAGAAAGAATGAGAGGAAGGAGGGGGAAGAGAGAAAGAAAAGAGAGAGTAAGAAGGAGAGAGGGAGAGAGGGAGACGTAGAGAGGCAAGAGAGAGAAAAGGAAAAAGAGGAAGGGAAAAATAGAAGAGAGAAAGATTGAGGGGGAGGGAGAGGGAGAGAGAAGGAGATGTAGAGAAGCAAGAGAGAAAGAAAGGAAAAGAGGAGGGGAAAGACAAGAGAGAGAGAGAGCTTGCGAGAGGGGAAAAGAGCAGGTAATAGAGAAGATGATAGAAAAGAAGGGGAAGAGAAAAGGTCAGGAAAAAAGACAGAAATGAGAGAAAGAATGAGCGAAAGGGAGGGGTAAGAGAGAAAGAAGAGAGAGCGTGAGAGAGAGGGAAAGAGTTGTTGGTAGAGGGGAATAGAGTATGATAGAAAAGAAAGGACGAAGAGAGATAATATAGAAAAAGAGGAGTGCAAGAGAGAGGGTTGGGGAGAGAGAGAAAGAGAGAGAGAAGGCAATGTAGTGGGAATAAAGAAAAAGAAAGAGGAGGAAGAGAGAAACAGAGAGACAAAAGAAAAGAGAAAGAGAGTTAAAAGACATGGAGAGAGAAAGAAGGGAAAAGAAATAGAAGGGAGAGAGAGAAGGGGAAGAGGGAGAGAGAGGTTATGTAGTGGGAATAGAGAAAAAGAAAGAGGAGGGAGAGGGAAGTAGAGAGAGCAAAGAAAAGGGGAAGATAGAGAGAAAAAGACAGGGAGAGAGAAAGAAGGGAAAAGAAATAGAAGGGAGAGAGCAAAGGGAAAAGAGAGAGAAGGTAAACGAGCAGGAATACAGGAGAAGAAAGGAGGAAGAGGGAAGTATAGAGAGAAAATAAAAGGGAAAGAAAGAGAGAAAGAGATGGAGAGGGGGAAAGAAGGGAAAAGAAATGGAAGGGAGAGCAAAAAGGGTGAAAGCGTGAAGAGAGACCAACAGACTAAAGATGAAAGAGAGAAAGATGGAGAGAAAAGGGGATGGAAAGACAAGAAAATGGCAGAGAGGTGACATGAGAGGGTATGATGGAATGATATTGAGCAAAAGTATGAAATGAGAAAGAGAGAGGGAGAGAGAGAGAGAGAGAGAGCGAGAGAGAGAAAGAGACTGAGAGAAAGGTGTGGGAGAGCGAGATAGAAAGGAACACATTGGAACTGTTAGAGATGAGTGAAGGATAGAATAATACATGAACGAAGCAAAAGCACAAGGAGAGATAATAAGGAGAAAGAGTGAGTGAGTGAGAGAGAGAGAACAGGAGAGAGAGAGAGAGAGAGAGAGAGAGATGGATGGTGAGAGCGGAAGTGCATTAGTGTAATGTGCAGTGAAATTTCCCGCTCGGAGCTCAGGCTGGTTAAGTGCTCTCCATCTGTGCTGGGTTTAAACTGGGGGAAATTAGCGCCCATGTATAATTCACCATACGCACACATGCTTTGGCCTGCATGACCACAGCGCTGAGTCACAACGTGTGAACTAGGTGAGACTGACCAGTGCTCAATCAATGCAGGTTTGCAGTGGTCAGTAACATAATAGATTATGGAAAAAGGTTTACACTTGTTTACTTAAAAATAAAAGTGCTCTATATATCATTCATATGATCCACACAGTCATTCTGACAGACTGTAATACACTACAGGAAGTCTAGAGGGGCGATATGGCTTCTACTGTTTCATTTAAAAAGCCTCTATAATGTTCATATGATCCACACAGTCACTCTGACAGACTGTAATACACTACAGGAAGTCTAGAGGGCGATATGGTTATATTATTTCTTTTAATAAACACTTTTTATATTTATATATATTTGATATTGCTCCTAAAGGGCTCCTAATTTTTTTAAATACAACAACATTTATTCCAGACGATACTATCTGGTTGACGTGTTTCTACTCGTACTGTTATTACAATATTTTTTCATAGTAACTATCATTCCACTGAGCATAGGTTGTTTAGTAACATCTTGCTTTACTCTGCAGTTAACTGGTACTAAGTTTTATACTTTGGCTCATACAAAAACAGAAGCAAAAAAGGATACATTAGGTAACTTCTGTAAGATAATATTTGACCTGCTGCCCATTTGGTCAGATTCTGAAGAAGAGAGTGACTCCAGGCCTACAGCGAATTCCATTGATCCTAAGCAAGCTTTTTGTTCGGCAGCTGCAACAGAGCAACTGAACAAACTGGAATCAGCAAAAAACCAAACAGAATACAATCCAACAAACAAGATGGGCTGTGAAACGCTTTACAGACTGATTGAAACAATACCACGTTCAGGGTCATCTGGAAAATACTGAAAAAGCTGAGCTCAACCTGATATTGCCAGTTTTATGGGTTTATTAGTAACGCAAAAGGGGACTACTTTTTTTGGCTGAAGGAATTGCCACAATTAAAGCATCTGGCCTGTGGACTGGCGACCTGTCCAGGGTGTATCCTGCCTTCCGCCCAGTGATCGCTGGGATAGGCTCCAGCCCCCCTCACAACCCAAAAGGATAAGCGGTTTAGAAAATGTGTGTGTATGTCTTGTATAAAGGCAATAGAACACTGGGGGTCGTGTATTATTGTGAAATAATGTCACGGCTTTGATAAAGACTTTGCTCACATTTGCGACCGAATAACAGTTGGTCTTCTACAGGAAGTGTAAGGTGCGATGTAGGGTCTGTTGTTTTGTTGCACTACAAAAAAGGAAATGGCAGCAACAGAAGTATTGTACATTTGAGCAGTCATTTTAGGTGGGCCACTGACAAAAGTGAGTGGGCCTCGGCCCACTGGACCTAATCATACCGCTGCCACTGGTGGCAGCCTTAATGAACTCTGCAGTTCATTGTTTGAGTGTGGTTATTTGTAAGAGAGTGAGTGTGTATGGTTATCTGCAGGAGAGGGTGTGTGTGTGCATGATGAATGTCTGTCATTGACGGAAGTGACAGCTGATTAATCCCCTCATTACTTCCTGCGAGACTCCTGTTCGGAAATCAGCTCGTCGGGCCTGAGGCTAATCCGGCGCTCTGCACTCGTCAGCGCGAGCTCGCGAGGACACTTGTGACAGGCAGACGGGGAGAGACATGACAGAATGACAAGACAGATGTAGAAAGTCAGAAAGTTAGAGAGGTATATGTTACCTTAGACACTTTTTTAGAACCTACTTTCTTACATCCACTCGTCCCACACTTTCCTCATGTGCTCCATATATGCACGCGCACTCCTTCCGATCAGACTTGTAGCTGTCGTTCCCTGTTAGCGTCACCTTGAATAGACAACTAGACTGCCTATTTGTTTTCGTGCGGTATCCAGACACACGCACACATAATTGTTCCTTGAAGGGAAAACCTTTTAGTTGGGACAGTCTGGGTTTGACCCTGCGGCTCTGCCAGGGGCGACTGACTCTGTGACAAGTAAGTGAGTAAGAGAGTGAGCGAGGGAAGAGAAAAGAAAATGATGTGCTGGAGTTGTCCTCTTCAGCGGATGATGAAAATGGACGTTTGGTGTTTGGATGAGACAGACGAGCACTTGCTTAAGCTGGAAGTTAATAATTTATGGCATAAGTGACATGTTTCTTTACATCACAGGTTCCCAACCCTGATCCTGGAGTACCCCTGCCTTGCACAGTTCTGCATTTTCATGCTGTAACACGCCCTCTTTAACTCAGGAAGGGCTTGTTAATTAGCTGATTAGCTAAATCATGTGTGTTGGGAGTGTGGAAGACACTTGTGGGTACTCTAGGACAAGGGTTGGGAACCACTGCAATACATGTATACAAAGTGTTTATTTTATTTTACTTAAGAACCAGCGTGATGAATCACCCTGTGATTAAAATAAATAGGGATGCAATGATATGAGAATTCGGTGCTGATATCTAATATTTTCATATACGTATCTGCCATTGTTGATGCATTTATGAAACTGGGACTACGTGGAATAGCATTGCAGAGAAATGTTTATTGCAGTAAAATGAATAAAATGCATATATGCTTTACAAAGTAGATACAAGAATATGTTATCAAATATTGGTGAAATTTAAACATCTTCTTTTAAGAAAATATCTGCTGATACTGATATGATTCCGATATCACTGAGCATCTCTAATGATAAATAAACCTTTCATTCAAATATATATGTACACACATAGACAAGTTAAGTCTTGAGACAGACTCAAAAATAGCTTTATGTAATTTGATAGCACTTTTTAAATGGATATTGTTTTTGCTCTGCTAATCTGGTTTTAATTGTCCTATGTTGTGTCTATTTTTGTGCATTTCAGGTGTGTGACTGGTGTAAGCACATCCGCCACACTAAGGAGTACCTGGACTTTGGGTCGGGTGAGAGACGCCTGCAGTTTTGCAGTGCAAAGTGTCTGAACCAGTATAAAATGGACATTTTCTATAAAGAGACCCAGGCAGCCCTGCCAGCTGGTCTGTGTAACCCTGTTCATCCAGCTGGGGAAGGGAAGTCGGAGGGAAGCCCAGGAGTGCAGCTCCTCACCCCCGAGTCATGGAGTGCTCCTCTGAGTGAACTCCGTGCGCGCAAGGCCCCTTCACCAGGGGGCGCCACCTCTGGAGCTGGACACTCGGGGTCAGCATCAGGATCTCCCTCTGAGCCTGGAACCATGTGTTCATCTTCGTCCTCTTCATCGTCTGCGAAAATCCCCACGCCAAGGCCACACGAAAGTCCGACGTTACCACATCCCCCTCCACCACCCCCTGCGCCCGGACTCCACCCACCACTTGGGGTGCCACCCGGCAGCCCTCCCATGGTGATGACACCCCGTGGTCCAGTCCCACTTCCTTTCTTTATGGAGCACCAAATGATGCAGCAAATACGTCCTCCATTCCTTCGGCCACCTGGCCCCAACAGCCCACTCTCAAATCCCATGATTCCTGGCATTGGCCCACCGCCTCCTCCTCCTCGGACCCTGGGTCCCCCATCAAGCCCAATGCATCGACCCCTTCTCTCACCTCACGTCCACCCTTCCTCCACCCCTACCCTGCCAGGCAACCCACCTGGTATGATGCCCCCTCACCCGGCTGCCCATATGCCTGGGCTACCTTTTCCTCCAGTTAACATTATGCCGGCTGGGCCCATTCCAGTGCCACCCATGATGAACTTTGGCATGCCATCACTTGCACCTCTGGTGCCACCTCCCATGCTTTTAGTGCCGTACCCTGTAATTGTGCCGTTACCGGTGCCAATACCCATCCCTGTTCCCATCCCAGTCAGTCCAAAGGCATCAGGTGACCGTCCAGGGAATGATGGGATGCTTCCGGAGGTTCCTGGTGAGCGCAGCAACTCACAGGACTTGCCTTTCTCCCCTGATTCGTCCAGAGGAGGAGAGGGTGGAGTTCATAAGCAGGGTCCCTCAAACTCGGACATGCTTTCACCAGGAGTGTCTGGCCAGACAGAACGGGGGAGGAGGAGCATGGTGGATCTCTCTGTTAAAATGGAAAGCCCTGGAAGTGGAAGCTCCAGTTTGTCAAATTCAGGATCTCCTACAGACACACCAGCAAATGGAATAATCGATTTAACAACAAATCGTCGCTCAAGGCAACAGCTGGTCATCCAGAGGGCAGTGCCATGTGTGCAAGTAAAGCCAGAGCCTGATTTGACTCCGCTAACAGGGCAAGCTGTCTCACGATTGGGTGATTGTGAAGCAAATGGGAGGGACTCTGGCAGCATAGGGCCAATAGAGGACTTGCAAAGAGACAGAGACAGCGAGGCTAAAAGCCCACTGGACAATGTTGAGCTGCCGTGTGCTGACCCTTCCTTCTGCAGTGCCACGCCCCCACTATCTCAACCAATTACATGCACTCTTTCTGCCCCCACAGCCAGCATCTCCACAACAAAAACAGAGCCAGGAACCGCCACGCCTTGTAACGTGATTGTCAATGGGGGCTGCAGCATGCAGCCACTAGAGCCCTCAGTCCGGACCTCACCTCTGGAACAGCGCCCCTCTGTGGAACCGTGCCGCAGGACAACCACACTTCGTGACGAGCCTTCTGAGGGAGAGGACCTGAAGGAAAATAGCTGCACAGCAATTGAGAGGGACACAGCAGGTAAGAGAGCATTATCAGAGCAGGCCAGTGCTCCTGCGGGCACTGGAGACGAGAAGTCCCAAGAGGCAGAGGATGCAGCGTCTGGAGCAGATCACGCCTACGCTTTGCCACTTATGCCCAAGCCGGGCTGTGTCATTCAGCCTGTGCCCAAACCAACAGAGAAGACAACGGGCATTCTGCCATGTGGCCTGACTGCACCATTGGCAGCAGCAGGGGCAGCAGAGCTAGAGCCCCCGCTAAAGAGGAGGTGCCTGCGCATTCGCAATCAGAACAAGTGAAGAGTGAGAGAGTTTGCAGGTCAGTCACTCACTGCCCTAGTTTAAATTTAAACTCCAAGTCAGACTGATCTTTAATTCCTGTTAGGGTTGTCTAAGCATTTGTAATTCCACTCTATTAATCCCTACCTTGTAGGTCCATCTTGCTAGTGTGCAGTTAGAGTTTGTGTTGATGCACAATTTGTGTTAGACACCTCCTACCCCTTCACTAATGGTCAGTTTCTGACCACAGAACTGCTCTTGGCTGGCTATTTCTGAGTAGTGGACCACTCTCAATCTAGCAGCAACAATGATATTAAGCATTGCTGTGCTGACTTGTACCAGTGCCACACAAACACTACCATGTCAGTGCCACTGCTGTGCTGACAATGGTCCACCACACAAACAATACCTGTTCAAGCATGGTCCTATGGTCAGAATTGTACAAGAATAGTAGAAGCTTGGGAAATAGATGAAAAATTAAGCCAGTGTTGTGTTTTGTCAGACTTTGCCAGACTGTGCTAGTGCATTTTCAATTTAAAAGTAAAAATAGTGTTTGCAGCTTTCAATTTTTCTCAGCCTTGAATTGAAACAGATGAGACTGAATTCATGCTGATTTTAAGAAAAGACCTTGAGCACTTTAATCTCTTAGGGGATTAACCCGTTATCTCAATATCTTTTCTTTCCTCCATCTCTCTCTGACAGATGCTTACATCTCACCAAAGGGACAAGCAGCACAGCACTGCAGCAAATACTACCAGTCCTTCTACAGCTCCACCATCAACACACAAATACCCGTCCCTTCACCCTGTAACCTTCTCCACTCAAGTCTTGGATGGACAAACAACTGGAATGACCCCATGAATCCTTCCAAGAGTCCTTGAAGTTTCCTCTTTTTCTATCTCTTTGTCAGTCTTTTCACTGGTTGTCCAAGTCACTTTCACCTAGAATTGAATCTTTACATCTGTGCTGAGGAGTCTCCCCCTACAGGACTGGTGAAGCGCTGCAGTGCTGAGGACTGTAATGTACATAAATAGCTCCAAGAGAGCCAAAAAATGTGGGTCTCAAGCCAAACAGCAATCATGAAGAGGTCCACTGGACTTGCCAATCAAATGTGCCCACAAATGATGGACAGGACTGGCTCCTGAACAGGCCCCCGAGGGTGGGCCTTAAACACGTTGCCCAATCAAAAAAAAAGCCCTGTGGCCTGCCACTCAGATGTGCCCATTAATGATAAACAGGGACAGGTTTGTTTTTTGTGTGTGTCAGTGTTCAGACAAATCTAGTTAGGTCCGTATGAAGTGAGAGAGAGTTGGAGGGCTAAACTGTTGGCACCTCCACCAGCGTTCTCAGGCAGAAGCGAACCGAAGATCCACAGAGTGCCAAGAAAGTAATGAAAACAAGAAAGGTCACTGTGGTCAGGTCTCTCCATCTTTATCACTTTGCCTGTTTTCCATTTGTTCTCCATGTTCTTGTCTTTTCTTTGGCACCACCAGCAAGATGCACAGAAATCCTTATTTGTGCCCTTTTGTCTTTTCTGGCCACAGAAAATACAGGAAAAAGGGAAAACTATTTCTTTCAGACAGTCTGAAACAATCAAAAAAGGAGCACGAGGAATAAGGATGAAACTGGGACGAGCGAAGGGGGAACTGGGGACTTTCCGCAGGAAAACAATGGACAAGACAAAAAATGAAGATTGTGGTACTAATGGAGAGCAGTATTTACGGACTGTTTGCTGGCACCCCAGCAATGTTGGTGGTGTCCGAATGGACGGATGTGCAATGGAAAATTCACTCCCTCTCACCTACTCAAGGACGACAGGGTAGAGACACTGCTTGACCTTAACCAGGACTGTCAAATGGTCGCTATTGGCTAGAAGGAACGCCTGGTTCTTCCTCCAACCTGAACCCAGAGATCTGAATGATGAATGCACTTGTCAATCACTGGTACACAGTATACGCATGCAATTACACTTTGTACAACGACATGAAGGTGTACAAAGTGAATAAAATACATGACATTTGTTGTGTTAGCCAAACTAAGAATGATAGCATAGGCCTCTCTCTGAAATTTGATACTCATTCAGTTAAATCAGTCTTTCAATCAGTGTATCATTTGGTTACGTGATGGCATTATAAACCTTGCCTTTTCTTATAGGTTCTTAAGCACTAGGGGCATTTCTAAACATTTGGGAGCCCTAAGTGGCATCCTACCACCACCTATCCCAATCAGATTCTTTTGTACGTAAGAATAGAAGAAAAATTACAACGTATTTAACTTTGATCAGGAATCTGTTTTTCTACTTTAGCATATCATATTTGTGGATTAGACATGGTTCCGTTACTGTATCTGTATGCAACTGTGGTTCAAACAGGAACAGAAAAGATGCAGTCAGACCGCGATCACTGTTTAGACTTCAAGGAAAATATCAGATACCTTCTCGGATCAGATTTGACTTCTTGTCTAAACGAAACCTGAGCCAGCTATGAAAAGCGTACATGCTAAAAGCTCGTTACCGAGAGGGAGCTACTTTGGGGCTTGAAGAGTCAAAACAACATGACACAGACACGCAGTAGAGGAACAAACCAGCAATGTTAAAATTTAAACACACAACATATCAGTCTCCAGCTAGCTCCTTAGGAGAGAGCTGGGGGAGTGTAACTCGAAGCCTGATGTGTGTGAGACTGAGTGTGTCTTGCCAAAAAACCTGAAGCATTTTTCCCAATTCATTAGAAAAGAAAAACACAAGTGTCAAAAAAGGGTACACAGAAAGGTGTGAGAACTTGCTGGGGAAATCATAAAAGTTGTCGGCGTGTCAGAAAGCGACAGGGTGGTTCCCTTACGGCTGTTTTCCTCAGCCGGTCAGCCAGACTTTTTGTCCCTTGTGTTGAAAAGTCTCCGTCTCAGATTCATCCAAGTGCTTGATTTCCTGAAAACTGAAAATGGCTCTGGTGTTTTCGTTCCAGATGGCTTTCCTTCCCCCTGCTTCTCTCTCTTTGCAGCTCGATATATTCTCCTCTGATTTCCATGTTTGGCTCAGTCTGTCTTGCTGTCGCTGACCGAAATCTACCCTCACTTTTTACCTCCGCTTTATCTTTTTTTTCTTTAACTTTCTCCTTCCAACATCATGAGAAAATTGGTGTAACCTCCCCGTTTTTTCTACTTATTTATTCAGTCTGTCCGTCAGACGTTTAGGGACGCTTTGCCTTGCTGTGCAACATTTGATTTTTGCTCTATGCTAATCCTTTGGGTATATTTAGCTACAACACTCAGCTATTGTCGGGACATCAAGTTTGATCCCTGGCCAAGACTCCAAAAGAATGGATAGCCGCGAGTCCAAGAGAGCTAAATTGTCCTCGCTCTCTCTGGGTGAATGGTTCTCCCTTTCCTCCCATCACTCAGTGCAGTGCTAGCCAACACAGGCATCTGTTTGCTGACGTAATAGAATTCACTGTTAGTGTTCTCCTCCAAGTCTGTCGAGCTGTCCAATGATGTTGCGTTAATGGCAGTTTAAAAAGATGCAGTGGAGTTTTGTATGTCTCGGAGGAAGCTCGTCCTAGACTTCACCCTCCCAGCTTAGTAGCATTGTGTGATAGAGGGAGAGCTAGCTAGCAGGTGGAATTAGTTACGACTAAATTTGGGGAGAAATATAGGTTTCAAAAAAAGCACATATTGAAACTTTTTTTGGCCTTTTTTTGTGCTGACATCACAATAAGGCAGTAAACTGAGTTTTATCTTGAGAGTGAAACATATCAGCTGCTCCTTCTTCTTCAGTTGCAGTTTTAAATGGCAAGATCTACACAGTTTTCTATTTAACATCACAAAGAAAACATTTGTCTTAAAGACACTTTGAAAAGCTTGGCGTCCCCAAACTTCTGATGGGCAGTGTGATTCTGCTGCTCATTTTTCCTGTTTTTTTTAAATCAGCCCACGCTCCTCCGCACACGCAGATCATTTTCAGGCTGGCCTCATAGACGGTCAGCTTATATTCCTCTTTCACATTCGTTCTGATGGAGTTGACAGAGCCTGCTGACCCACTGTCTAGCCAAAAGAGGACATGCTGAGCAAGTGACCGCCAAGAGTAACACATACATATACATATTTATCGCTAATATAATCTCAGCAATCTCACACTTTCTCTATGCTACTCTTGTGGGGCCAGAAATGATCTCATAACAAAAATGTCTGGGGACAACTATGAGAAATTTTGGGCTAAATGTGGGCGGGAACCTCATGAAGACAGAGCTCACAGTAGGGGGTGATGGTGCGCTCGTTAACGTTGTCCGATGGAGAACATGCCTGTGGTTAGCACATGGATGAAACGTAAGTGTCGTGGCTGAAAAGGCCTCCAAAAATTTAAATTAAGCTTATTGATGTGAGTCGTGTGTGTAGAGGACACGTTACATACAGCAGAAATAAACATTAACTCATACAAAAAACAGTTATGTTAGCAAATGATAGCATGTTGGCTAGCTGCCTTGTTTTATGTTGTTTTAATGGAATTGTTGATTGGACGAGACTAGAGGAGTTTGTTGGTGGGACTTGGAGGGGTGTACCCTGGATTTCAACTCAATTTAACACAACATTTTAACAAGTTGTCCCCAGATGAGTTTTCTCGTTATGAGACTTTGTTTTAGTTGACTGTAATATTCAGGATTAGGAAAAAATCACATTTACAAAGTTTTGCAGTTACCCCAGGTGCAACCGATCAGCCAAGACATAGTTGGTGTCCAAATTTAGTTTATCTCTGGAGCTACAAGGCTAACACACTAGAAGTCAGTAGTCACCCAAATCTTTTCTGTAAATATATCCCTGAAACTTTTCTCAACCCACTCAAACTGCATCTAAGTCTAGGTAACAGATGGACTACAGTCTGTAACTGTACACCCACATAGTGGTGCTATGAGGTAGGTGTTTCTAATAAAGTGGCCAGTGAGTGGAAGCATGGGGAAGGTGTTTCTAATAACCTGGCCAGTGAGTTGAAGCATAAGGTGAGCGTTTCTAATAAAGTGGCCAGCGAGTGAAATTTCAAGCTGCGTGTTTCCAACAAAGTGGCCACTTCAGCCACTTTAGACAACAGGTGTGCTGAAGCCGACTGCCATTCGCATACACCTATATCATACAGGCATATGGACATTAGACTTTCTTAGATGTTCTTTAGTTTAAAAAATCAAGATTTGACAGTTATTTACAAAAAGAAATCCCGAGCATAATAGAAGGTAAGTATTCAGAAGTTTTGTTCATTTTTATAGCTCACAGTAATTCATACTGTGTCCTAAACCACAAGCCTGTGCTACCTTAATGACGACCGGGATGCGGGTTGAGAAGAGTTTTGAGGATGTATTAACCAAAAAGATTTGGGTGACTATTGACTTCTTGTGTTTTTTAGCATCATTAGCTGTGTAGCTCCAGTGTTAGACTGAAGAAGCAAAATTTAGACACCAGACAGGTCTTCTCTGATCGACTACGTCTGGAAAAAGTGGGAGAATTTGTAAATTTGATTTATCAATGACCCATTCCTTCCACATACTCACACATCTTCCCCCAGGGTTCATTCAGAAATTTAACCTGAAGGGTATCTTAAGATTCCTTTAAGCTTCTATGCGTCCCGTTTATTCAATCAGCCAATTTCCTCTCTCCTGTGACGCACGCACCCAAACATTTCGGCAGCTCTCAGATAACACTGAAGGCTCTGAGAACCTGAAATATCATTTTTTATGACCCACTGTATGCGAGTGACCTTGCTGTTGTAACTGGAGTTGAGCAGACTGGGCCGGACAGATATAGCGCTGAAACTCAACACTGTTGTAGTGTCTGCGGTTCCATACAGACAAGACAATGACACCAGCATAAAATGTGTATGTGTGTGTGTTTCATGGCAGACGATGCTGTCCTTGATCCCACAATACGTTTGGCTTTGAGGAAAGATTTGTAGGCCACAGAAAAACTACCAACAGTAACAACCTGGCCAAAAGTGCGTTACATACAGAGCTCTGTTTGTTGCTCAGTTAAAGGTTCTTCAGGAGAGGTTATAACACTCTCAAAAACAGTTTAAAGGGCCCACATCTTACTTTTATCTTCTTTTTTATTTGTTTTAGGGATGCACAGTGATGTCGGAATCATATCGGTGTACGTTTGCTTAAAAACCGGAATTATACTGACCTTTTTGCGTTTCATTTTCAGACAAACCGTTCAGTCCACACAGTCCATATATGTAAAACAGGCTGTGAAAACTGTATTCTGAATTCAGTTTTTGTGATGTCACAAAAACCAGCACATTTGCACACACTTGTTCAGCCTATAACTGTGTAGCCCCGCCCACTCACTCTGAAGTTATAAGGAGTGTTTCAGCCCTGCTTTTTGAACAATGCACAATACAGGGCAGCCAGAACAGAGCTCATGTACATACAGCAGTCTTAAAGGAACAGTAACAAAAACTGACTGTTTAATTCTAAGGGATAAAGAGAGGAATGAATTCAAAATGCTGTTTTCAGAACGGCTACTTTGGTTTCCATATATGGACAGAATGGAGTGGTTAATTTTACATACTGTGTCAAACCAGAGCTGGTTTATGAGGAGTCTGGCCACTTCCTATTTCCCCCGTTATATAATAAATGGGACTGCAAAATGCCAAAGGGCGCCCACGAGCAAGTCTTGAATGAATGTGAGTAAATGGAGCTAAACGGCTAAAAACAAAACGTTAAAATAGTTTCTAATCACTCGCCCAGAACGTTTCTTTAATTTTAGAAAGCAGAAGGATGGATTTCACTAAAAAAGCAAAGAAAACTCACCTATATGTTTCCTTTTTCCTACAGTAAACGGGTTTTGGGCAGCAGAAGGCGGGCATTACTGCTACTGAGTGCTGATTGGTTGGCAAGCAGAGCAGCTCATTGGCTTTTCGCTCTCACAGATATCATCAACGTACATGAGGCGCAGTTTTAAACTCCTATAACTCGAGTTTAAAATGTTTTATGCTGCTCTGTTTTCAGGAAATAATTGCATTCTTTTACATTAAAAATGTTTAAGAATTTATAAACTATGATTTTGCTCAAATGCTCCATAATAACCCATTCATTTTGGACTCACTCAGGAGCGCCCTCTAGCGTTTGAGAAACCTGGAAGACACTGCAGAGTGGGAATTCTCCTCTCTACAAGTTCTCTGTGTCAAACCCTGTTATTAAATAAAGTTTCATTTTCTGAGGTATGTGCCCTTTAAGGTTAGAAACAAACACTTTTAGTTCTCTAACAGAACTTTCACTGGATAGAATCATTTTTGCATTTGAAATGATTTTGTGTTGGGTTTTCATGAGACACACAACAGAACATTTCAAGGAAACGTACATTGTATTATCTAAGAAATCACTGTAGTTGATTTTTCGGCTGTGTTTTGCTTCTGAAATGTCTATTTTGAAGGTCCAACAATAGTCAGCGAGCACACCTGGGCTCCATTTCCCTCAGCACCAGTTTTCCATGTTGGAAATGTCTTGATGAAATCGCCCGCCGTGCTCAGCACTGGAGGAAATCTAGATGGGAATGTATTTTAATGACATATTGCAATGCATAGCTCAGTGCAAGGTCAGAAGGTCACACACAACTTCACAGTAGTTTTCTGCTTTACGATTTCCCAAAAGGTTCCTTGTAATAAGCTTGAACAGCAGTGCGTCTCTAATTTGAGGACCTACGCTCTTAAAAAAAGATGGTTCTTTAAGGGTTCTTTAGTAAAGACAGTGATTCTAGAATCACGAACACTCAAAGAACAATTTGCATGATTAAAGTGTTCTTTACATGGTGAATGGTTCTTCAGAATGATGGAGGAAGTGTTGTACATGGTTCTATATAGAACCTTTTTAAAGAAGGTTCTATATAACACCAAAAATGGTTCTTTTATCGTTACAAGCTTGACATTATAGAAAGAATAGAAAGAACCCTTTTTGGTGCTGTGTAAATACATATATTTGCTGCTGTTGGAACAAAACTTTGTATCTCCAAGAAGGTAATTTTAAAGGAAATGTAAAAAAACGTACTTTACCTTTAATGTAAGTCAATGGAACCAGAATTTTCTTCCAAGTAATTTTTGGTTTCTTTTGATCCATTCATCATAAAATTTACACACAATATAAAGGGCAACAGGCATTTTTAAATGATGCCAAAAACTGAAAAATGCCCATACAATGTTTCGCCAACAGCAGTGATAGGTGCTATAAAGCATTCAAATGGTTCTTTGAGTGTTATTGGTTCTTTATAGAACCGTTGTCTTTAATAAAGTACTGCGGTCCTCCTGGAAAAATTCTGAAACAATGCTGGGTGCCTCCACAAGGAGGCAGAATAAAACACCACAGTACTCAGTGCTTCCACAAGAGGGCAGCAAACGCACTCGTTTCTCTTTGGAGGCTGTGTTAACTGAGAGGCTGAGAACGTTTCAGTGATTGTGTGCAAAGCTGACTGTCTGCCAAACGCAATACTTCATTCGAAATGTGTTCAGGAGCCAAAAACGCGTCTTACAGTTCATCTGCCAATGTGTCAGTCAGCTCGGAATTAAAGAGCAGCACAGGAACGCTTGGTTGTTACTTTCTGGCCAAAGTGATGGGGTCTGAGGAGCCGGGAAACCGCTGCCTAATCAGAGGGAGAAGGGTTAGCTGGTCATATGCCAAACAGCAGCACACGAACGCCAACACACACACACAAAAAGCCATTTTACCACTCAACCACAACTGCATGAAGGTCTCACTTATGCAAACGCAACAGAACAAAATATGCTTAAATGTGACTGAATAAAGGCAACAAAAGGCAAAGAGACGGACACGACTGCACCGTATTGAGTAATCAGGCCTGGGCTTCGTTGGTTAGGCCGCATTTCATATGGTCAGTCAACACAGGGCGGCTGTGAATTCCCCACAAACACAATTATGCAATGACTGATTCTTACTCTCACTGCACTCTGCGAGAGACGGACATTTGTGGGAAAACATAGGAAAAAAACAAACTAAACTGAAAAGAATACATTGCAATTTCTAACGTTTTAAATGTTAAAACTTTTCAAAGGTGAAAAGCTGCCTTAACTCTTGCTCGTGTGCTGCAGCGCCTGCTGTTAAAAAAAACCAACTTTGTAAACAAAACACACAAAAAAATCATAAAAAACGACGACTTTATCACGCTAGCGTTGATGTATATATGCTTTTTCTGTGACTCGTATGATCCTTGGTATTTTGCTTCATCTGCCCACGTTCACTTGCCCTCCCCACACAAACATACCCCCCCCCCTGTAAATCTGACCCCCACCCACCCCCGTTGTGATTTCTCTGTACTTGCAGAACATTTTATAGTATTATTTATTAATGACAAGTGTTTGCATTTGCAAATAATAAAGAAAGTGGCTCTTTGAACAGGGTAGCCAGCTCACTGAAGAGAAGGCAGAGGCCTACGTCTATTCTTTTCTTTTCTTTTCTAAATTAAAGAAGGAAACAGCGAGAATAATAAAAAAAATGATAAACTTGTCTTTTTATTATGAAATTGTTATAAAACTTGTTGCCAAGATTGCTTTAAAATGTACCATTTTTTGTCTTGTAACAGTATTTGTTTTACTCAGTGAACTGAATAAATAGAGGCACACACCAGTCTCCCTCTCTTTCCCTCTCTCTCTTCCTCTGGCCTGCTTTTTCATTTTTACTAGCGCTTATTTACTGTTCTGCTGTGTTCAGCTGCTAATTTTAAAGACAAATCAGATCAGATACCTGTATGCAGAAATTAGGGCAGCCATTCTCCATTTGGAGGGGAAACCATGTCACAAAGGTTTCAGGGCTTAAAAAGATGCTTAAAATATGAGGCACAGCTCCAAAAGTCAGTATGTACATTTACCCAGTTGACCTAAGATTAAATAACACTTTTCTCTTATGATTCTCTGATTTTTATTTTTTATCCTGTTTCATAGTCGCTCTGCATCTGTAAAACAGCTCAAAACCAACTTTAAACATTTGAGAAACCATTTTTAATATAAAACAACATTTTTAAGAGGTTTAACTGAGGAATTTGTATAAAACAGATTTATCTTTACTTTTTATATAATTAAAGTTTTACTACATTTAAAAAATATGTTTTTTATTTAAAAACTTCATTTGTCAGAGATTGTGGTCTCTGGTGTTATCAGGACTCTTATTTTACATTTTAACACAGTATTTTCAGCTCTATTTAACTGCTTCTTTGGGTCGAGGCTCATCAGAGAGGAAGCATCTCAAGGCCTGAGAAGGCGAGTCACACTCACTCACTATATTTTATTAATTTATTTATAATTTTGTTTATCAGGCAGCTCATAACCTCTATGTGTCAGTGGTGTTTTGTGCTTTAATGGCTGGGTAATCGGAATTTTATCAAAATAATGCCAAATATAATTTTATTACTGATTTTAAATAGATGCACAAGGTCACCTGACCAACAATGAGTCCGCCAATCCTCAGTTTTAACCAGAATATCACTGGAGTCACCGTCACTGGTGTCACACCATATTCATACAACACCAGTGACTGTGACATATGTTTGGAATTAAGCTCTCCTTTCTGCATATATGATAATGGAGAATGACCCAGGGAAGCTGTGATCTGATCAGAAAGGTTGGGATTGAGGTGGATCCAGGCTGGATTCCCTTGTGATCCTCCCTTATTTATGTAATATAGATGCCATAAACAGGCATTATGCACATTATGTTTTTATATTAATGTTGATGATGGTAAAAAGAGTAGCGTGTTTAAGAAATGGTTACATGTTATTTCTAGATTGTTCTGAAGCACTGGGTTTATTTTGCTGGGGACTCTTATTGTGAAGGCAGGGCTGTTCTGCCTTTAAGAGGGATATGTGTGTGTCCAAGCTGAGCGCTGAGAGAGGCAGATGTAGGCCTAGGAGAGGCTAGAGTGAGCTGTTAGAGCAAAGCTGGGCTAATGCACACCATAGCTGTGACCCACAATGAAGCACTACAACTTGTGCAAAAGCTGTGCTTCTTTAACAGCGGTGAACAGTGATAAAACAAAAAATATAAGCTTGGGTACTGTTTAGCCTCACAACGCCCTGCATGTACCCCTCCACCATGAATGACTTCAAATGGCCTCGGCCCAAACTTTAGCTCGAAACTATCATAAAACAGGGTCTCAGTCATCAGGCAGCGCATATATAACCATTTCAGGTAGTAACTTTCTGTGAGGGAGCTTTTAGAGGTGGACGTCTGGTTCCTATCACCACCACTGTGAACAATTCTGACTCAGTAAGTTTCTCTAGAACAGAGCGTTTCACACCAAACCACTCTGAATGACTCTGTTTACATCTTAATGACGTAATTATGCAGAAATTTTGAAAAATAGGTGGAGTTGCCCTTTAACAAAGCAATATGGAACTGCTTACAGAGGAAAATGAAAACAGTATCTGCAGTTCTTCACACTTATCTTCACACTTATTAGTGAAGTTGTAGTGTAAATAGGAAGGCAAATTTCAGAATAAAGGTCCAAGAAGGTTATTTATAAAAAGATAAACAACAATAATAATAATAATAATAATAATAATAATAATAATAATAAAGATAAGCAGATTAGAAAACGTGTATGTGAAACAGAAGAAACACAAGCAGAAATCTATTTTTGAAAAGATATTCTTCTGTTTTCATCCATTATGATTTGATTTGACGGCTTTAGAGAATAATTAGCGGAAAAAGTCACAGATCGGTTAATAAAAACCAACAAAAGACTAATTTTTAGTTTAACTGTTAATGAATAACCTGCATCGTCCGGCTCTACGGAGGCCTCAGTGGGTCAAAGCTGTCATCCGTGATGTGTGCGGAAGTGAAAGATCCTCAAGCTGCGTACTTTTTTGTTTTACGCCCGTTTTCAGGTAAGCCTATCCGTCCTGCCCTGGGATTGGCTGTTATGTCCTGCCTCCTGCTGTGATTGGCTACTATTAGATATTACACGCTCTTTGCAAAAGTGCTCATAGCAAAATCACTTTTGGTGCTACAAAGACCAAGTTTTACAAGTTTTAAAACAAGCCTAGAGAAATACATTTCAAAATTCTCCATAAAATATATTCCTGTAATTCTCGCTTGTCAAAATTTACAGACACAAATGAATCATATACCTTTTGTGAAAAAAAAAATAGTCCACTTGTTTTATGACTGTATCTTTGTGTCTTGTTTCTGGTTTCAGCTAAATTTGTTTCTTTTTTATTTTGTAAATCAAAGTCACTCCTTTATCATGAAAGATATCTTTTGTTTTTTATACAAATTCAGGTGCTGGTCTTGAGTACATTGTCAATTATTCTATTTTATCTGCCAAACATTTTATTCATAAAAGCAAATTTTCCAATTCAATTCCTAGAATGTCAGCTTTTAAAATAGAAGTGGAATATTTGATTACCCCCCTTAAAATGTTAAATAATGAGAAGAGCAATACTAATATAATAATAATAACTCCCCTAATGACTGTCATTAAGTTGTTTTTGTGTGTGTGTGTGTGTGTGTGTGTCTGACTTTTATTTAGTTTTTTTGGAGTATTTGCTGCTGTTAATTTACCCTTTTAGTGTAGTAATGGTGTATGTTGTAGTGAATTGTGTATGTTTTAGTACAATTGTTATGAATCATTGCATCAATTGCAATAAAAAAAAACAAAAAAACAAAACACGAGTTTAACCTGGAGGGACCGGGCAGCTATTGATAAAATAATAATAATAATAATAATAATAATAATAATAATATAATAATAATAATAATAATAAAACATAAAAAAGCACCAAAAAAATCCTGACGCCTGCGAGCTATTAGCCAATCATAGCGAAGGAGGGGCGGGGCTTTGTGGAACGTAAACGACGCATTCCAGAGCACTCGTGAATTTGAAATTGGGGGCGGGGCTTGTCTGAATACAGGTGGGAAAAGAAACTCCATCCTTCGCCAAACTGTGTGATATCCGAGCCGCGGAGAGTTCATCCTGCATCCGTGTGTGTTACCGGGTGTGTGAGTGTGTGCGAGTGTGTGCTGAGTGTGTGTGAGTGTGTGTTGAGTGTGTGTGAGTGTGTGTTGAGTGTGTGAGAGATGGACTACGGCCTCCCGCTGCACTTAGCCAACTTCAGCACGCTGTTCGTCTGCGCTGTGCTGAAGTTCCCGCAGATGTTCGTGCTCTTCCGCGCCAAGTCCACCGCGGGGGTCAGTCTGAACAGCCTGCTGCTGGAGCTGCTGGGGTGAGTAGAGTCAGGGGCTCTCACTCTCACTGTCACTCTCACTGCATCACCATCTGCACACTCTGCACTCCAGAGTGAGGCCTTTCACACACTCTGAAAAAAGATGGTTCTACAAGGGTTGTTTGCTAAATGCTATGGTTCTGTCTAGAACTGTATGGCTTAAATGGTTCTTTGCATGGTGACAGGGTTCTAAAGATTGATGGAGAATGTGTTGTGTATGGTTCTATATAGAGACTTTTTGAAAATAGTTCTAGATAGCACCAAAAGTAGCTCTTCTATTGATAAAAAGGATGGTTCTTTAGTGAAAACGGTGGTTCTGTATAGAACCATAAACACTCAAAGCACCATTTGCATGCTTAAATGGTTCTTTGCATGGTGACAGTGTTCTAAAGATTGATGGAGAATGTGTTGTGTATGGTTTTTGTATAGAGCCTTTTTGAAAATAGTTCTAGATAGCACCAAAAGTAGCTCTTCTATTGATAAAAAGGATGGTTCTTTAGTGAAAACGGTGGTTCTGTATAGAACCATAAACACTCAAAGCACCATTTGCATGCTTAAATGGTTCTTTGCATGGTGACAGTGTTCTAAAGATTGATGGAGAATGTGTTGTGTATGGTTCTGTATAGAGCCTTTTTGAAAATAGTTCTAGATAGCACCAAAAGTAGCTCTTCTCTTGTTGAAAAGGATGGTTCTTTAGTGACACCAGTGGTTCTGTATAGAACCATAAACGCTCAAAGTACCATTTGCATGATTAAATGGTTCTTTGCATGGTGACAGGGTTCTTCAGATTGATGGAGAATGTGTTGTGTATGGTTCTATATAGAGCCTTTTTGAAAATAGTTCTAGATAGCACCAAAGGTAGTTCTTCTATTGATAAAAAGGATGGTTCTTTAGTGAAAACGGTGGTTCTGTATAGAACCATAAACACTCAAAGCACCATTTGCATGATTAAATGGTTCTCTGCATGGTGAAATTGTTCTTCAGATTGATGGAGAATGTGTTGTATGTGGTTCTATATGGCACCAAAAAGGGTTCTTCTAATATTATGATGTCAAGCTTGTAACAGTAGAAGAACTCCTTTTTATAGAACCGTACACATCACATTCTCCATCAGTCTGAACAACCATTTAAGCATGCAGGTGGTTCTGTGTAGAACTCATGGTTATAAATAGGACGATTGTCTTTACTAAAAACCCTTGAAGAACCATCCTTTTCAAGAGTGTAACATAGAAGAACCATTTTGGTGCTATATAGATCCATTTTCAAAAAGGTGCTATATAGAACCGTATACAATACATTCGCCATCAATCTGAAGAACCTTTTCACCATGCAGAGAACCATTTGAGCATGCAGATGGTTCTGTATAGAACTCATGATTCTAAATAGAACCATTGCCTTTGCTAAATAACCCTTGTGTAGCAGCTCGGATTGCAGGGCCAATGCAAGTGCTTTATGTCCAAAAGTATCCGGACCCCCGTTTGCAATGAGTGAGTTCAGCTGGGGCGCACTCATTTCTGCACACTGCTACTCAGAAAAGCACTGACCAATAGAACCGGACGTTCTGGAGCAGCCGCACATCACTAAGGTCACCATGCCCTAAGCCAAGCTTCGTCTAGAGGGGTATAAAGCCCCCCAGCATTGGGCTGTGGAGCAGTGGAACTGTGTTCTCTGGAGTGATGGAGCTCCATCCAGTACCTTTGGGATGAGTTGGAGTGATCCAGAACTGACCATCCAACATCAGTACCTGACCTCACTAATGCTCAATCAAATCCTCACAGCAATGTTCCAACATCTAGTGTGAAGCCTTCCCAGAAGAGTAGAGGCTGTTACTGCAGCACAAACTCACTATTAACACCTTCACTTCAGAAGAATTGCTGAAGGTGTCTACAAACTTTTGGACATTATAGTGTGGCTGCACTCTGTATGAGGAACCCAGCGTGATGATGAGTCAGTGATGGATGGAGGTCTGAAAACTCGCAGCCTTCTGTTCCGGCACAAGCTGGACAAGAGAAACAGCCTTTGTTGGAGCGACAGGCCACAAAAAGCATGGATTATAGCTACTGTGCATGTAGTTCTGTTATAAAGCTGGACGTGAAGCAGTCAGAGTGGTGTGAAACAAATGCAGTGTGCAAAACTGAATAAGCACTCTGTACAAGCAGTGATGGCCAAATAAAAAGGACAACAAAACGTCTTAAAGGGCCCATATCATGAAAACGAGAACTTCTATCACAGTTTTGAAATAAAGGAGTTAAAATGTGCAGTACATCCTGTTAAAAGCCTTTTACTCTTCCTTGTCCATACAACATATATATTGCTGTGTCAGAAGAAAACCTTGTATCAGTATATGTATTTTTCAGTTTTTGACATAATTTGAAATTGCTTGTTGCTCTTTACATTGTGTGTACATTTCGTGATGAGTGGACCAAACGAATTGACCCAAAATGACTTGGAAAAAGTCTGGTTCCATTGACTTACATTAAAAGTAAAGTATGTTTTTTCCTTCTCCTGTAAAGTTACTGTTTTGGAGATACGCGGTATGTCGCTACTGGCAATTCTCCAAAATGATAAATGGTAACTTTACAGAAGAAGGAAAAAACATCCTTTACTTTTAATGTAAACCAGACTTTTTCCAAGTCATTTTGGGTCATTTCTTTTGGTCCATTCGTCACGATATATATACACATGTACAATACCATTCATAAGTTTGGACGCATTCAACGTTTTTTCTATTTTCTATACTGCAGATTAATATTGACGACATCAGAACTATGAAGGAACACATATGTAGTGTGTCCCAATTCAGGGGCTGCATCCTTCAAAGGATGCAGTCTATGAAGGCGTGTCCTTCGAAGGCTCTGTAGACCCGCGAAGGCGGAACCAAAATGAGACGGTCTGCTCTACGGTGGATTTCCTGTTTGTGTCGCAGCACCACTGTTCCCGTCACAAAACACAGCTCCTGTCAGTTCTTTTCAAGTTCTTCAGATGCAGCCTCTGAAGGACGCAGCGCCTGAATTGGGACGCAGCTATGAAATTATGTAGTAAACGAAAAAGTGAAACCAGAATATGTTTTATACTTTAAATTCTTCAAAGTAGCCACCTTTTGCAGCTTTGCACACTCTTGGCATTCTTTCAATCAATGTCATGAGGTCATCACCTGGAATCTGCCTATGCAGCAGTTTAGCCCCTCTCATTCACACTGTAAGTCTATAGAGTGTTTCAGCCCTGCCTTTTGAATGAGGCACAGTACGGGACAGCCAATCAGAACAGAGCTCATTTACATATCAGTCTTAAAGGTACAATAAACAAACAGCCTGATTAATTGTAAAGCATAAAGAGAGATCGAAAAATGTTCATGTAAAAATGACTTATGACTCTTATAACAAATGTTATGAAGAGAGCTCAAGGGCAAAAAGCATGCATTCTTGCTCTGCATGCAGTTTTAGGGAACTGTGCATGCAGACCAAGATGTGGCAGCATTTCCTGTTTTGGGGTTTAACCATCCACCTAAGTTCTTGCACGCTTTTTCGTTCTGTTTGTAAAAGTTTAATCTGTTGCTGTAGTAATGGCTAATAAATATCTCTCTGTAGGTTCATAGTGTTCGTCTCCTACCAGATGTATTATGACTATCCTCCTCCCACGTACCTGGAGTATCCCATCCTCATCGCACAGGGTAAGAACATCAGACTGTTTTAAAATAAGCTGGGTTTATATCATCACACATCATAATACAGTTTCTAACTAGCGGTTTGATTGGCTGAGAGGCGTCATGTGAGCCGAATCGAGCCAACTGATCCCTTTTTTGGCCTGGTTAACCTCTACACCGGTTAATGGAACTATGTTTATTTGAAACTTTATTGCTGCTCAGTTTTTGTGTCACCATTGTGTTGAAAGTAGTTTGCTGGGCAGGTATTCAGTTTTTAATTCTGGGATTCAGATATTTGTTTTTTTTGTGTTTTTGGCTTAGTGTATGTCAGGGGTCTTTAATTAAAATTCAGTAAGGTCCAGTTAGAGAAAATATCCTCAACCAAAGGTCCAGAACATCATAATGTCTAACTTACGTTATGATTCAGTGCCATATACGGTTTACTGAAGTAGCCCAGTAGGTATATCAACATCTTATACAGTCGACAACTGAACGTCAAATCAAATAAAGTACAGTTCAGTCATATTTCAACAACATTTATTATCAGTTTTCTCTCTTTAGAGGAGACAAAGTGAAATAACTTCCCTCTGACTCACTTTCTCCTCCGACTACTGTTTCTCGCCTCGTCCCTCCCCTGTGTGTGCCTCACTCACTCGAGTCTCAGTGCTTATTGTAATGCACAGATTGGATTGGCTGAGTAGCGTCACGTGTGATATTTACAACGCATGTGATTGGTCTGTGAGTCTCCCGGGCCGCTAAGGCTACTGTAAAGGCTAGAAAAGCTACGCAGATTAAAACAGGACCACCCCGTCCAAATTAAATAATTCTCCTTAGTTTATCGATTATAGGTCCAGGTCTGCATAGGTCTGGGTCCAGACTCGGACCGCGGTCCGCCTATTAGTGACCTCTGGTGTATGTTATCAGTAAAGGCCAACTACAAAATGCTATAACATTTGGGGTTCTCAGGGGAAACTTAGACAACTCGAGGTAACGTTCAATATCGCAGCTGTGCTTTCAATTAGCTGGAAACAGCGCCAAACACGGTGAGAGCTAACACAGCCTCTCCAGCACTAACTCTGCTCTAGAGCTGAACGATTTGGGGAAAATATCTAATTGCGATTTTTCCGACTAATATTGAGTATTTTTTTATAAGTTGAGATTCAGGCCTGATTTATTTTGGCCAAGAAGACCAGAATATCCACCTTTTTTGGCTTGAGGCTCGACCCCTGAACGTACCGTGCCAAACTGCCAGTAAGCTGTGGTTGTGATGTCACAACACATGGAGGTTTGGTTGCCTCTGATTGGTCCAACTCATCTACAGGCATTTCACAAACTCTTATTGGGTCTAAGTTCCCCTCTTGAAACTTTAGACAATGTTTCTGCTAATGCACACACTTAAAGATGCTTCTTCAAGGGTTCCTTACTAAAGCCAGTGGTTCTATATAGAACCACAAACACTCAGTGACCCATTTGCATGCTTAAAAGTTCTTTGCATGGTGAAATGGTTCTTTAGATTTATGGAGAATGTGTTGTAGATGATTCTGTATAGCACCTTATTGAAAAGGGTTCTATTTAACGACCAGAATGTTCTTCTAATGTTACAAGCTTGATATCGTAAACATTAGCAGAACCCTTTTTGGTGCTGTGTCTTTAAATAGAACGTGGAGCATTTGTGTGTACCAGTCTTTTGTAGTGGATTGCCATTTCAACTCGGCATTCGAACATAGACCCATTCAGGAAAATCTGGGCAACATTTATGGGCTTGACTGTTTGGTCTCTTCGGCTACAGCTTTTTTAGCTAATTGATGTTAGTTAGCTTGCAGTTATCCAATATTACTAATGACTAATATTAAAGAGGATTCATTAAAAAGCTTTTTCTGAGAGAATGTAAGTCCAGTCCAGTCCCATTTCTTATTTTTACATCTACCCCTTGTTTTCAAGTGTCTTCTTGCCCCTTTTTGTACTGGGTTATAAGGGGTAGTGGCTGAAATCTTCCCTCTGAAATGGGACCCTCAAACAAAAAGAGCATCACTTCATTAACAGCTACCAGCACTGCTCTGTAGGCGACCCTGCCAGTCTGCAGTGACAGCAGAGGAGGGTAAAGTTCAGCTCCTCACTGCTGGGCTTTAGTTACATTTAGGGATCATATGCCTTCAAAGAGGGGGGCAATTAATTTATTATCACCCACCTCTAATTTTTCAGTGATATGAAGCTGTAGTCAGATATTCACCAGCTTCTTGTTCAGATATTCCCGTTCCACCTTAAATGGTGCAGCAGTTATATTCTGGTGCTTCAGGCATCAGAACCGGTTAAGGTGGAACTAGAAATTTAGCTAGTTGGATACTGAAACATCAGCAAACTACTAGCAATGTTTAATGCTTGTTATAAAGAAAAGGACCAGAATACATTGGAACAACATTAAACTGAGATAAAACAATAATTATTGTATTTTTTAACAGAGAAAATTCTCACATTTGTGGGTTTCTTTGGTCTGTTGTTCAGTCATTTTACCGGTTCTTCTTTTTTTCTCATAACTCTCTGTTTGGAGTCTCTGAAAAACCTCAGTTTGGAGGGTCATGTAGCCCCAACACTTCGCCCCACCCCTCTATCTCAACAAGAATCGGGACACCCTACCCCTAGATGTGAACGCACAAAACAGAGGGGTAGGGCTAAGTGGTAGGGGCCAGGGGAAAATGGGATTGGGCTTAAATGTACACAACTGGACATTAAGGCCTGCTGTAGTATTTTTGAGGGGACATTTACATTGCGTATACCATGGGGGACTAAATGTAACCTGTCTGGTACCCTTTTTTGAGTTAATCCTCTTTCTTGTGTGTTTTTTCCTTTCTTGTGTTTGCAGATGTCATCCTGCTGCTTCTGATTCTGCACTACAATGGAAACCTGAAGCAAAGCCTCATCTATGCAGTAGTGTATCCTCACCTAAGCTAGCGTTCAGTGTGGCTTTCAAAAACCTCTCCTCAAGCATTTACATGCCAGCTCAGAATCTGCACGGCAGAATTAAAACCACCTTCACTTTATACTTTTCGCTGGATGGCTGTGTGGTTTTGGTTACTGGTAAAGCAGAAAGCAAAACTTTCCACTGGGTGACCACAAAATGCACGTGAACGGATTCTGGACCCGAGGCTGTGCTGTTGTGTGTGGGGTGGAGTCGGGTCTGCAGGCTTTGAATGAAACCTAGCGTTGACAATACATAATGTGAAGGTGAAGAAATGTGAAATAGAAGCAGAGCTTCACTGATTGGTTGACTAGATAAAAATTCACATAATTTACCTAAAGAGCCTTGAAAACTAAATTTCCTTTGCCTTTTTTTTTGAATAAAATGCTTTGATGTAGCATGTAAACATTGTTAAAGTTTCAAACCCTATCACTCACTCCCAGTCCATACAGTCCATATATGGACACCAAACTGCAGCCTGTTTTGAATTATTTGTTTTTGTGATTTACACATATCCATCCATTCAGCCGACAGCAGTTTAGCTCTGCCATTCACAGTCAAGTTTTAAGGAGTGTTTCAGCCTCAACTGCTTTTTGAGTAAGACTCAATACAGAGCAGCCAATCAGAACAGAGCTTATTTAAATATAAATGTCTTAAATGCACAGTTAGAGAAACAGCCTGTTTAATTCTAAAGGATAAGGAGAGTTTGGAAAATGATTCTGTAAAAATGAATTATGACTGTTTTGATACACAAATGTCCTGAGTTGACCTCAGAGGAAGAAAATAAAATGCAGCCGTTTTAAGCTACACTGTGTAAGGATTTGGAGACCTCTCTGGTGGAAATATGCAATTGCTTGCATTTTGTAATGTTGTGCTTTAGCGGATGAATCTGATGATTGGAAGGGAATTCAAAGGCTTTGTTCACACAGCAGGTAAAAGTGGCCCTAGTCTGATCTTTTTCTACATATGTGACACAGATGTGTGTCTGTGTGTCAGTGGGAACAGAAAAAAAACACTGAATCTGACATTTTCAATTCTGATTTGAGACACTTTCATATGTGGTACTGAAATCCGATACGTATCTGATCTGCAGCAGTGTGACTCAGTCTGAACAGCCAGATCGGAATTCATGCGACTTTTACGTCAATCCAGCTCTACATTCGTCATAATTTTGCGCTGTTGAGACTCAGAAACATTTAGGCTGATGTTCCTGTACTAAAAACGAGAAGAGACTCATCCAAAACCCTGAAGGAAAACGAGGCTGCAGCGTCAAAGAACAGTTAAAGGTCTGAAAGCAAAGTTTAAAATGATCCGAGGCCATGAATCAAAGAAGTGACCGCGCCCTTTTTACGGCTCGAACACATTCTGGGTGATGAGCCCAGCTGTCAGTCAGTGAAGCTTCATGATGGCTTCTGTGATGCTGGTGAAGCTGGTTATCCGGGAGAGACTGGGGTTCGTTGGCAGTCATAATTGTATACCTCTGGATGAGCCGTGACGCAGCGTGACGCTCTGTTCTTTTGCACATGTGGGTCAGTTTAGGAGCTGATCTGTTCAGACTGATGTTGCATGTAGATCACATTTAAATTCGGATTTGTTGAGAAAATCAGATTTGGGCCACTTTTACCTGCTGTGTGAACGTAGCCAAAGAGAACTCGATCAAAACTTGGTGAAGGACACGTCGTCTTCTGTGAGTAAATGATCTTTTATTGTCGTCACATCTTCATCGGTGTGATATTGATTTTGCAGCAGTTGAGACCAAAACATTAAAATGGACCTTTTTTTTGAGGCTGTGTGCGACATTAATATGTAAAGATATATAATGTTGTCTGAAACACTTCTGACCCAACCCTGACCCGATTAGATGGACTGTCTGGATACTTGTGGAGATACAGTGTATCTGGTATCACCTATATTGGGCCTTATTATAGAAATATTTGCTAGTTGCAGCTCCTGGTAATAGTAATTGTCCTGAGTGAAAACACAGTTCTTAGAAAAGTCACTTATATACAGTAACCCAGCGATCACTGATGCATTAGTAACATCACCCTGACCACTTAAATGTGTCTTCACTTCACTACTTAACTTGACCTCTCCAGGTTTGTAGGGGGCTGGAAACTCCTCACCATTGAGAAGTGGGTTATTGACCTGGCCATGGTGAGAACATCTGAGATCTGTCCACTTGAATTAATTACACTTAACAGTTTAAATCAAAGACACTAAACATATTTTAGTTTTATGGAGTTATTGTAGTTTAAATGTGTGCAGAGTTGAGTCCACAGGAACACATTTGTAATCACCTCTTTACAGAGTTGACTTCGCTTCTTTCTCTCGTTTACTGTCTGTGTCCAGAGTCTGTGTACGTTCATCAGTGCGGGCAGTAAACTGGCACAGCTGCAGTGTCTGTGGAGGTCTAAAAACTCAGGACAGGTCAGCACTCTCACCTGGGCTTTGGCCTCATACACATGTCTGGGTAAGTCACATGTATATTAATGCATAGAAATAAAAATGCATGTTAAAGCAGTACGTCAAGTGTGATAACAAATGTAAATAAAAACAGAATGCAATGATTTGCAAAACTCATAGATCCATGTTTTATTCACAATAGAACACAGAACACATATCAGATGTTGAAAGTGAGACACTTTACCATTTAATGGAAAATATAAACTCATTTAGAACTTGATGGCAGCAACGCATCTCAAAAAAGCTGGGACAGGGCCGTGTCTACCATTGTGTAGCATTGCCACTTCTTTAACAACAGTCTGTAAACGTCTGGGAAGTGAGGAGACCAATTGCTGGAGTTTTGGGAGAGGAATGTTGTCCCATTCTTGTCTGATGTAGGATTCTAGCTGCTCAACATTTCTGGGTCGTCTTTGCCGGATTTTTTGTTTCACGATGCGCCAAATGTTTTCTATTGGTGAAAGGTCTGGACTGCAGGCCTGTTCAGCACCTGGACTCTTCTTCTGTGAAGCCACGCTGTTGTGATGGACGCAGTTGTGGTTTGACATTGTCTTGCTGAAATATGCAAGGCCTTCCCTGAGATACGCTGTCTGGATGGGAGCATATGTTGTTCTAAAACCTCTATATACTGTTCAGCATTGATAGAGCCTCTCCAGATGTGTAAGATGCCCACACCATAGGCACTAATGCAACCCCAGACCATCAGAGATGCAGGCTTTTAAACTGTGCGCTGATAACAGGCTGGATGGTCCCTTTCCTCCTGAGTCCGCAGGACACGGCGTCCATGGTTTCTAAAAAGAATTTCACATTTTGCTTAATCTGACCACAGAACAGTTTTCCATTGGCCCAGAGAAGACGGCGGTGTTTCTGGATCATGTTGACGTATGGCTTCTTCTTTGCATGATACAGCTTTAACTTGCATTTGTGGATTGCACGGCAAACTGTGTCGACAGACAGTGATTTCTGGAAGTGTTCCTGAGCCCATGCAGTGATTTCCAGTACAGAATCATGCCTGTTTTCAATGCAGTGCCACCTGAGGGCCCGAAGATCATGAGCATCCAACACTGACCGTTGGCCTTGTCCCTTGTGTACAGGGATTTCTCTGAATCATTTGATGAAATTATGTACTGTAGATGGTGGGACATTTCAAAGTCTTCACTATTTTACATTGAGGAACATTTTTCTGAATTTGTTCCGCAGTTTTTAGATGCAGTTTTTCGCAGATTGGTGAACCTCTGCCCATCTTTGCTTCTCTAAAATGCTCTTTTTATACTCAGTCATCTGAGTTAGTTGCAAACTGCTCCTCTAGCTGTTTTTTTATTAGTACCACTTACGTTTCCAGCCTTTTGTTGCCCCTGTCCCAACTTTTTTGAGATGTGTTGCTGCCATCAAGTTCTAAATGAGTTAATGTTTTTCATTAAATGGTAAAATGTCTCATTTTCAACATCTGATATGTGTTCTGTGTTCTATTTTGAATAAAATATGGGTCTATGAGATTCGCAAATCATTGCATTGTTTTTATTTACATTTATTTACATTTTACACAACATCCCAACTTTTTTGGAATTGGGGTTGTAGTTTTTGTTCACCAGATTACAACTGAGATGACGGTGCTAGTTTCCTTAAGCACTTCTATGCAATCCCCAGTCTCATATTAGCATCATGCTAACAGTGTTGCACATCCCTTTTCCCTGCACTGGGGCTGAATCTCAAATGGCTCCTACACCCTACATAGTGCACAACATAGGATTTAAAATACTGGCTCCTGCACCAAAACAGTGCATAATATGTCTAACAAGTAGTCATTTGAGATTCAGCCGCATGTGCACAATTCCATACTGGACCAATAGTGCACCGTTTGGGTGCAGAAGCCAGAATTACTGTGCGAGGCTAATTCGAGGCTTTGAGGATAAATGTTGCAGTGCTGTCTGAAGAATTAATAAATTCTTTTTTGCCTTTATCTCAAAAGTGATGTCCAGAAATGAGGCTTTTTTACTGAAAATAATATACTTTTTCAAAAATAAAAAACAAGGACTTTTATTTTGAAAATGTCTCAGTAAAATGTCCGTATTAATGTCATGTAAAACACGTATACTTTATAAATGTTGATTTAAACATTCATGAACATGCTGTGAAGTGTCTATGTAAGATGTTATGAACGTGTTATGGAGACACCCGTCAAGGAAAGTATTACTGATTATTTTACAACAGCGGCTCAGACAGTCAGACCTATACGTTTTATAAAGGTCTGGATTTGCTAGTGCACAGTTAGAGACTGTAGCCCACCAGTTGATGCACATTTAGCCATCCTCTACTCCATAAATGAGAATTCCAATGATTTATTACAACTTTCTGCATAGTTAATTAAGATGTAAACAGAGTCGTTCAGAGTGGTTTGGTGTGAAACGCTCTGTTCTAGATAAACTTATCGTCAGAACTGTTCACAGTGGTGGTGATAGGAACCAGACGTCCACCTCTAAAAGCTCCCTCACAGAAAGTTCCTACATGTATTGGTTATGAATTCACTCCCTGATGTCTTTTCATTTAAAACACGTTCATGGTGGACCAGTTACTGGAAGAGGCTTCTAATAAAGTGCACAGTGAGTGTATTTATGAACCTCTGCAAATGAATGCATGACTCTGTTTATTCACTTATTTGCTCTACATTTTCTCAGCAAGAATCTTCACTACAGTGGTGACGACTGGAGACACTCAGGGTGAGTGGGACCAAACAGAACACTCAAGTATTTCCTCTGTAAAGCAAAAGACGGAGGAAAGCATGCAGCTCACTGTAAACAGAATAAGACCAAACTGGAAATAGAGCTGCTGATGCATTTCATGGAATGCATAAATGACAGCGTCAGAAAAGACCTCATTCTTTTGGATTTGTTAGTTGTTTGTTGACCATTTGCTGTGCAACATTTGTCATGTAGCCTCTATTTAGTCTTCCACTTCAAGTTGTTTTCCTCTCCTTCTCTGTTTAGTTCTCGTCCGGTTTGTTGCCATGACGATCCTGAACGTGTGGGTGACACTCACGGTGATGTACTACAAACCCGCCGCCAAGAAACAGGACTGAGACCCGTCACCATGGAGATCATCCGTTCGTGGGACTGTTCAGTATTTCATTCCTTCTTTACCCTGGACCTCTTCTTTGTGTTGACCAGTGTCCACACCTGATTCTCACTCACTGATATTTACTTATGAATCAGGTGAGCTGGAGTAATGTGACCTACACTGAGTGGCCACTTTATCAGGTTCACCTACCTTGCTATTACACATACTATATAGGGGTACAGTTATAGACTGTAGCCTGTCTGTTGCAGTTTGTCAGCCCCCCCCTGTGGCCCTTCATTAACTGTCAGGTTCTGACCACAGCACCGCTGTACACCCAATAATATGTGGGTGCTGGTCCGTTCTCAGCACAGCAGTCACACTGACATGGTAGTGTGGTGGTGCTGGTATGAGCGTTTCAGGTACAGCAACAATTGCTGGGGTTTTTTACCATGAACTCTTACTGGCCACTTTATTAGAAACACCCACTTTATTGTATCTAGATACACCCTAAACCTGGGGGAAGCACCGTGGTTCTCACAGCATTTGTTAACATATTTGCATGTTTGAATAAGGCTTCAAATGAGTGTTTTAGACATGAAGCACCTCATGGATTTGGCTAAAGTGAAGGTTTAGATCATGGCAGTGACCGCAGGAAAAATGAGGGATGCTTTATACAGCTGACTGGTCAGTGGTGGTCCTATGGTGGTCTCTTTCTACTGATAAATGGGGTAGAAGGTGCATGATAAATGCAGCAACAGATGGACCACATTCAGTGACTGTAAACCCCCTGAAGACCCCATTTATAGTAAGTGTTTCCAATAAAATGGCCAGCGAGTGTATATAAGGTAGGTGGACTTATTAAACTGGCAACTCATCAACCATTTATTTTGACCAGTGACCCACATTTGTTACCAGACGAAGAAGAACTTTGTGTTAATCTGTTCCAATTTGTTTTCTATTGTATGAAAATACCTGTTGTAGTTTTTGATGATGTAAGATAGAGGGCTGGTTTCTTGGATGTGGATTAAGCCTAGTTTGGGACTAAACTGCACTGCCAAGGGTGTTTAAAGGTCACCAATTACTGACAGCATTCTTTGCATATATACTGAATGTTTTTGTACACCCTGAATCAAATATATGGTATATATTTTCTATATGTTGTGCCTTAAATGAGCTCATTCACAGCACAATGCTAATGGTGTTGTTCATAAAACATCTGTTGAGTCTAGGCTTAGGCTTAATCTGGGTCTGAGAAACTGACCATGGAGTGTAGTTTTTTTATCCTTGTTACTTGACTCAGGGTTCCTCTTTATTCCATCTCAGCTATGGTTTGTTCCTCATCATTCCCTCACTATCTTCTGACAGCAGTTATAGCATAACACTGTATTATAATACAGTAATTACACAGTTGTAGCTACTCACACTTGGTTATTGGCTAATTACATCCTTAATTAGTAATACACAGATAGAATTGTATTGTTATAAATGCTTTTACAGCAATAATCTCAAGTACATACATTTCCTCAGAGGTCAATATTAGTATTATTGGGCTGTAACAGATGACCACACGCTTCCTTAAACATTCCAGTGAGGTATTTTAGGAGGGATTTAAAACATTTAGAAAGATTTCAGACGTTCCTTTACTTTCATTTCTGTTCTCTTTGTAGATGAAGTTTCCTGAAAGGTATTTGTTACTGTAAATTATCTTGCCTAGTGCTGTACTGAATTCACACAATAGTTAGATTAACTTTTGTATAATATAACATTTGGACTGGAAAGATACGCACACATCATTAGGTTGAGGAGGAAAAAATCACTGATTCTGATTCTGACATAATGTCAGAATTTTAACTTGGTCTTAGTTATTTTCTCCAAATAATAAAAAAAATAGTGTTGAAATGAGTTAAAATATTATTTTGACATTGAGTCTTTCAAGCAAGTCATTTTGAACTAAGTAACTGTTACTACATAGTATATAATTATTTTGACACAAGTCAAGATTTTGGAAAAAAAACAGGTGATTACTTTGAGATACTGAGTCAACATTTTTGACGTACTGCTGGCAGAATCAGAGCTGTTGTTGTAGACGATGTTAGTTTTTTCCTCCTCTGCCTGGCAGAAATGGGCTTCTATACTGTTCCGTAAGTGATGATTCAGTTGAAATGAGTTTTGTTTTCTTCTCTTCTAAAGTGGATGTTTATCAGACACCCACACAAAAACTATTTTTCCATGAAGCCAAAGTGTTCGGGCTTCCTCACTTTGTACTGAAATAGTGTTCATACACGACCAAAGGAGACTCGTTCAGACACAAACTGGCTTTGGAAAGTAGCAGCACTCTGTGTGTATACATGCACTCAATAATCCGATCATAATCTGATTCCTGCTGATATCTGATTATTCAAATGTTCATGTAAACACCATACTCCGATCTAGAAATCCAATTAAGAAATCCGATAAAGGGAGACGGATTTTAGCTCAGTAACTGTGTGTGAACTCTTACTCTGATTTCTTTCGGATTTCTCAGTCTGCGAATGTGTGGAACAGACTGCTGTAGAAATAAGCAAGCAGTGTTGGCACGAGACGCAACCTTGAAACCGACTACATTCTTGACAAAAATGAAGGATTTAAATATTCTTCATCTTCTAGATGATGTGTGTTCATGTTTTTAGGTAAAACGGCGCGATGTATTAAAAAAAAGCTGCAGCATGAAGTTTGAGTTTTACGTTACGTTTACGTCACGTCTTCTTGTTTATTGGCTGGTTGTAAAGCAGAAATTTGATAACTGTCTGACTCATGTAGACCCGGAGTTTCCACATAATCTGATTACTCAAGTGCATGTAAACATGTTGATCGGATTACTGACAAAATCAGATTTTCTGCAGTTATCGGATTATTAAGTGCAGGTAAACACACTCAGTGTCTGACGTTTGAACTTGGATGGTGTACCTCATGTTTGGACACATAATCCATGCAGCTACTGTACTTGATGTCTTTTGTCTACAAAATCTTTCAAATCAATAAAACTGTTTAATTTTCTCTTGACAAAGTGTGGTGGTTTCAAAAAAGCTATTGAATACAGGCTTTTGGAAAAACTAATTTAGTTTGTGTCTGATTGCTGATTAAGCACAATTCAAGTATAAAATCTTGTTTTATCTTCCATTAAAATGTAATGACTTTAGCCCCAGCTCTAAAAATGACTAAGATAATGATGTCACCATGCAGCAGTCGGCGGGGCAAAATAATTAATGTAACCAATAATGTGTGTCAGCTCCCCCGTACACCACCCCACCCAAATGCTCAGCAAGCTCTCAGACCCTCTCTGATTGACAGTTATGACGCAAGGAACTTTTTAATACTGTAGTATTGAGGAAATGTAGTTGGTACCATAAAAGTTTTGATCTTTTGACACAATTTCCTGCTCTGAAAGTTCAAACATGACCCGTTACTGGCAAAATTCTTTGAATACATACAGTACTGTGCAAAAGTCAGGCAATACATTGTTTTAAACTATTTTTCTGTGTGTGCCTTTACCAGTAAAATCACTGTATAACATTAGCATGAACACAAACATATCGCTGCTGTCAGAAGAAAACCTCGCATCTCCAAAATGGTAACTTTACAGGAGAAGGAAAAAACCTACTTTACTTTTAATGTAAGTCAATGGAACCAGAATTTTTTTCCAAGTCATTTTGGGCCGTTTCTTTTGGTCCATTCATCATAAAATTTACACACAATGTAAAGATCAACAGGCATTTTCAAACTATGTCAAAAACTGAAAAAACGACAAAAATGGAGATACAAGGTTTTCTTCTGACAGCAGCGATATATCTGAATATATTTGTGCACTTAATAAGCAACTACAGGCCCGAAATCATAGAACTGAGAAAGACAGGAGACGAATGTTATATTAAAACTTTACTTCCTTAACTACATTCACAGCTATATAGTTAATTTTAACAGATTACTTTTTATTGTTTTACAAAAATAAGCAAATGTTATAGAGGGTCTTCAAACCACAAAGGCTACATATGGGGTTTTTGTTCTACTGTCAAAACAATACAGCATTATAAAACATGCAAATCTGGACACAGCGCTTTAAGATGAAAAGTGCTCAGGCCAGTATAAATAAACCAAGTGACTTTTATGATGCCATGTCAAATATACGGTGTATATTTTCTATATATATCGTGCCTTAAACGAGCTCTGTAAAAGTACAGTAAAAGTAACACATTCACGGCACAAGTGCACTCCCTGCCTCGCACGCAGCGTCCGCGCACACTCGGCTGAACTCTAGAAAAATACTCGGATCACTTCAAACCACAAGGTACGTACATAATGAAGTTCTCTCATTGTCCTTCATTGCTTTTCGTATGAACTCAACACCACAAAGCTGTATCGGAAGCAACTGACCTATACAGGCTCCGCCCACAAATGAGCTATGTCGTAGCTGCTGTCGCTACATTGGAAAAGCTTTACAGAACACTGTAAATATGCTGTTCAACGTAAAGAGAAACTGCAGAGCACGTCGCAGTTTGTCAGAATATCTGAATTAAATGATTAGATTAGTGATTAATATATTCATCCTGCCTTCCGCCCAATGACAGCTGGGATAGGCTCCAGCACCCCACCGCGACCCAGAAGGATAAGCGGTTTAGATAATGTATGTATGTATGTATAACATATTAATTTTTGAATGACCTTGTGACTGAGAAAGGCCCAAAATAACACAGTCACTCCTAATTCACAAAATCCACTGTGGAATCTCATAATCAATACATTTTTTAATATGGCAAAAATAAGGAGTGGCTAAAAATGTGACTAATGTTAATATGTTAAGGTTTTTCAGAGCATAATCAACACAATAGATGCACAGTATGAGACACAAAGCTGTGCTTTACAGTGTCCTGATCTGATGCTCCATCCACAAGCTTGTATGTCAGCCCCAAGCACAAGCTGACACGCTAGTCACCAAACAGCGATGCGATACGCTGCAATACAACTGGATATGTTGTACTGCACAATTATGATCATTGTCATGCAGCTGTTTTTATGGATAAGCATCAGATGGATAAGAAGCTAAGAAAGTTCACCAGCTTCAGCTGTTTTACTGTTGCTAACATCACAGCCTACACTGCTCGCTACCGTAGCCAGCCTGAAGTCACTCCAAGGACTAGAAACAAAACTGTAGCCTCAAGCTTTATTAATAAAGCACAGCTACTCTGTGACTCCTATGAACACCCATACAGCGAGAATATATGGGTCCACTGGCTTGATGAAGTCGGCACCCCACCGGCTATTTGCCACTGCTGGTCCCCCCTCGGACCACCCAGATTACTGTCCTGCATACAAGCTCTAATTAATTTTAATCTCCTCAAACAGATTTTAAATGCACAGAGCTTTTTATATTAGATAAACAGATTAAGGCAAATATTACAAACAACTAAGGGAGAAAAATAATGACTAGGCCTGATGTGAAATGATTTTATAGAAAACGTTGCTGACACAAAATTATTTTACTAATTAAAATGATTTACTAAACTAATTTATAATGTATAACTAAAGAAAGCTGGTAAATTGGACTATGAGTAGAAAATGAGCAAGTGGAATTTTGTCTAATACTCTGCTTAACCACCGGTGGGCCACCCAGGAAACGCTGAGCAAAACGCCAGTGGACTGCCAGCTTTGCCATTAGCAGGCCAACAGTGGTGCACTATCCTTTTGCTATCAGGGTAGAGAAAAATAGGCATTAATTAAAAATAAAAAACGTTAGCCACAAAGTTTCCACCGCCGTATCTAACTTTGTGACATAATACTCATAATACTCATAATTTGAAATGAATAACTCTAAATTTGGGTATTTTGACAAAACGCTCTTAAAAGGCTGAACGAGATTCCTGTCAGTGCTCTGGAAAGCTTTTCCAACTTAGCAAAAGTAGCTACAAAAGAGCGTATTTGTTAGCGGAGCAACTGCAGTTGAGGTGAGGGCGATTTTCAGCTTTACAGCTGGGCTGAGTAGATTTAAGGTTTAGAGAGATCATCGTTTATCAGCAACTGGACCTCAAAAGGCTTAAAGTTCTCAATCCCAGGATGGTACGAAGTGGAGTTTGTGATTGGTCTGAAGTTTTCTTCATGTAGATATGAAACCTGCATCTTCTGACCATCTTCTGTCGGTCATCTCAGCTTTACATTCAACACGTAGGGGGGCATCTTAACAGGTGGACTGGATGCAGTTTGAAATGACACCCTGGTTACAGTGGAGCACGGATGCAGAGATTAAGGCATGTCTGAGGGAGTAAACATGAATACAATCCCAGCTGTGTAGATCTAGACGGACACGTGCAGCTAATGAAGCTAGCATCCACAGTGAAATATAGAAATACAATCATCACGAAGTAGACTCTGTATATGCATACATATATATATATATATATATATATATAAACAAACACTACATGTCCAAAAGTTTGTAGACACCTGCTCCTCCAGTTTCTTCTGAAATGAGTGTTAATAGTGACTTTGTCCTCCTTTGCTGCAGTAACAGCCTCTACTCTTCTGGGAAGGCTTTACACTAGATGTTGAACATTGCTGTGAGGATTTGATTGAGCATTAGTGAGGTCAGGTACTGATGTTGAATGGTCAGTTCTGGATCACTCCAACTCATCCCAAAGGTATTGAATGGAGCTCCATCACTCCAGAGAACACAGTTCCACTGCTCCTCAGCCCAATGCTGGGGGGCTTTATACCCCCCCAGCCCATGCTTGGTATTGGGCATGGTGACCTTAGCCTCACGTGTGGCTGCTCCATTCTATTGACAGTGCTTTTCTATGGAGATTATGCAACCTTCACTATTTAGAAGTGCTATCTGGACACTTGTGGGCACATAGTGTATTTTACATATATATATATATATATATATATATAAACTGCATTCAGTGGCATTTATCTATCCAACAGTGTAGTGTACAGTACCAAATACCACAATCTTTGAGACATTATGGCAGATAATGTTCAAATAAGGCCCTGGTTCAACTGGGCCTTGGGGTCTGATCAGAAGCCTCCGAATGCATGATGTATACATATATTTGAAAGCCAAAAACAGGCCAGGACATTGACCAGTCAGCTGATATGACGGAAGAACAGTGCCTTTTCAAGAACGTTTACAAAAACAAACAAAAACATTGAATGCGTTTTCCTCCACAGCCTTGTTTTCTGTCCTTTCGCTGATCCACATCAGTGTAGCCCAAGTAAGTGCTGTGTGTTCTGAGTTGGAGAAGGAGGAGGAGGAGGTTTTGTTCTGTAGGTGCAGGTGGATCTGAGCTTCTCTGTGGACTTTTTATTTAAAGCTCTGGAGGCAGAAGTGATAGACATCCCTACATCGTTTTTTTTTTTTAAAAAAAGAAAAAACAAAACTACACACAGCACTCGTGCGTCTCTTTCTCTCTATTTGGATTCGCAAAAACTCTGTAAAACATTACGACCGAAAGTCTTTAGTTGCTGTGAAAGGAGGAGACCCCACATCAGCACGAAGTTACACCACATTCCCAAAGTGAGGTTAGCTAAAGAGGAGGAGAAAGAGAGAGAGTTAGTCTCGCATTTTTAACGTTATCCCACAAAAGACCAACCAAAGGAGTCACTCCTTTAACCCTTAGAAGTCAGTTATTGTTAATACTAATACAACCATTTTGTATGGATCATTTCTGAGTCATAGCTCATTGAAACAAGTGGAGAAATTATGGTTTGAATTTCATCAAAAGTTGTTGTGTGTACAGCAGTGTTGGAGGTAACGGGGTAAAGTTATGGTTACATCTTCCTGTAACAAAGCAGTGGAACACATTACACTTTATATTTCCCTACTCGCAGCTGCAGACATAATAATCATCACATTACTTGCGAAACTCTGAGAGAATAACAATAATAATAATAATAATAATAATAATAATAATAAAAATAATAAGTTTTATTTATATAGCACTTTTCATGCTGGTGGCAGCTCAAAGTGCTTTATAGACAGGAGATAAAGCTTAACAGTAATACAGTATTAATTTAGAATCATAAGAAAATGACACAGATTAAAAGATAAACACCAAAAAGATGTGGAGTTTTAATTAAATGCTGAGTTAAAAAGAGACATTTTTAGATGTTTTTTAAAACTGAGCGCTGAGCTTGACTGTCTAATAAAAGCTGAACTGAGCTCCACAGTTTAGAAGCAGAATAACTGAACGAGTCTCTCCACGTTTTCTGTGTTTTACTGAAGGTGTTTGTAGGTCAGTATCTGCAGATCTAAGATCATAAACAGACAGACACTCTGTGATGTAAGTGGAGCTTTAAGGTCATTTAGTGCTTTAAAAACTAGTAGCAGAGCTTTAAAATCTATCCTGAACGATGCAGCCAGCCAGTGCAGCTCTTTCTAAACGGGACTGATCTGATCTCTCTGTGTAGTTTTTGTTAAGATGCTGCTGTATTTTGTGCGAGTTGTAAAGGATGTATTGTTTTCTTAGGAGGTTCAGTAAGAAGATCATCTTGTACAGGACGCATGTATGAGGCAAATGACTTGGGAAATTCAATGAAGCGCTTAGGTTCGCTTCTTATTCGAAATTCCAGTTCCACCTTACATGGTGCAGCAGTAGCATTCAGTCACCTGTTAAGGTGCCACAGTGTATCTGCTGCTCCAGAAAAATGAACATAAGCCAAAAAATACTGATCAACACTCTGCGGCACTTTTGGTGTTAGAAAGCAATATTAACACAGGTTAATCTGCATATTGTTGACTTTTGTTATTGTTTTAAATATTTTGCACAATAAAAAAAATTCAGATTACAAGATTTGCAAGCTGATTTGTGTATGTGTGAGTATATATATATATATATATCGCTGCTGTCAGAACAAAACCTCATATCTCCTGTTGCTCTTTACATTGGGGCAGATTTCATGATGAATGGATCAAAAGAAATGACCCAAAATGAAATGGAAAAAAAAAGTCTGGTTCCATTGACTTACATTAAAAATAAAGCATGTTTTTTCCTTCTCTTGTAAAGTTACCATTTTGGATATAAAAAGCTTTTCTTCCAACAGCAGCAAGATATATTTATATTTTCCCACACACACCATGATGTATACCAAAGAAGTCAGATACTACTGACCCCAGCACTGCTGTACCGTCTTGTTTCAGAGAAAGAAAACCAGCCTCTACATGTTTGTCTTTTTTTGACATTGAAACAAAGAGAAAAGTGTTGAGTGCAGATCGAATTGATGCAAATCGAATGTAAATGTAACTCATTACATTTAAACATTATAGCAAGAAGCCAATAACTCCAGACTTGTAAGGGTTAATTCACAGCACACCACCACCACACACCCTGCATGCACAGTCATGCCTGTAACACACCACACATCACACACACCCTGCACATCACTCATCACTCACAACACGCCAGTTCGCAAACTTTTATTGCAAGAGGTAACAAAACTACTAAAAACAATCACAACACTATTCCACTTTTTTCTTTTACAGTATATTCACTACCAGTAAACATCGGCTTGTAAACATGATAAATAAAAGGCTGGTAAACTGAAAATACAGTAAAACATAAAACAGCAAGTGAGTCATTTATTCAGACGGCCGTCGGAGTCCTCTCGTCTCACATTCGGAGATCCTGACCCTGGGGAACTGGGGTGAGAAGGTTAAAAGCCAAAAGTTAAAAAGCAGGCGGAGAGAGAGGAACGTCAAATACCCGACACCTCTAAACATTCTCTCCTTCGTTAGCGCGACAATGCAAAAAGAACGGACAGATTAGATGGAATGCAATGGAATGGACTGGAGTGCCTCTTATAGGAGAAGGTCAATGAAAAAAATCACATGTACACAATTTTCCTTCTTCCCACAAATATAATCGATCAGCCAGGACAGGTTTGCTGCACTGGAGCTACGAGGCTAATGCAGCTAAAAAGGTAACGGAAGTTCCACCGATTAGCATGGCGCTAACTGCGTACATAATTCATCAGGTCATCTTTTTTAATACAGACTGCGGGGGGGTTCAAATCAAAGCTTGCTAGCACAGCTGGGGTCTCTGGTGTGGAGCCTGAGACTTCAGGTAAGGCTTTTCTTGTTTTTGCAAGTTATCTATGAATAGCCAGCAGGTAGTTTGGCTAAATTAGCCATCATTAGCTGCTGCTTAGCAACAGGGAGGAGCTCAGCCCAACACTTAAAGATGGTTCTTCAGGAGTTCTTCAGTAAAGGAAATGGTTCTATGTAGAACTATGAGTTCTACATAGAACCATTTGCATGCTTAAATGGTTCTTTGCATGGTGGAATGGTTCTTCAGACTGATGGAGAACGTGTTTTATATGTGCTTTTGGAAACGGTTGTCAAGCTTGTAATAACAGAAGAACTCTTTTTGGTGCTATATAGAACCAGTTTCAAAAAGGTTCTATATAGAACCATATACAAAACATTCTCCATCAATCTGAAGAACCATTTTCACCATACAGAGAACCATTTAAGTAACTCATGGTTCTAAGGCCCAGTCCCATTTCACCCCTCGCCCCTACCACTCAGCCCTAGCCCTCTGTTTTGCCCATTCGCGTCTAGGGGTAGGGTGTCCTGATTCTTGTTGAGATAGAGGGGTAGGGCGAAGTGTTGGGGCCACATGACCCTCCAAACTGAGGTTTTTCAGACACTCCAAATGAAGAGATATGAGAAAAAAAGAAAAACCAGGAAAATGGCTGAGCAAGAGACCAAAGAAACACACAAATGTGAGAATTTTCTCTGTTAAAAATTACAATAACCATCATTTTATCTTAGTTTAATGTCGTTTTACTATATTATGGTCCTTTTCTTCATAACAAGCATTAAAATTCACTAACAGCATGCTAATGTCTTGGTAGCTAGCTAGCTAACTTTCCCGTTCCACCTTAAATAGTCCAGCAGTTCTGACACCTGAAGTGCCAGAATGTAACTTCTGCACCATTTAAGGTGGAACGGGAAAATTCGAATGAGAGGCTGGAGAATATCTGACTTCAGCTTCACATCACTGAAGAATTAGAGGTGGGTGATAATAAATAATTGCCCCCCTCTTTGAAGGCATATGATGCCCTAAATGTAACTAAAGCCCAGCAGTGAGGAGCTGAACTTTACCCTCCTCTGCTGTCACTGCAGACTGGCAGGGTCGCCTACAGAGCAGCGCTGGTAGCTGTTAATGAAGTGATGCGCTTTTTAATTGAAGGTCAGATTACAGAGGGAAGATTTTAACCACTACCCTGTAACTCAGTTCCAAAGGGTTAGGGTGACACTTGAAAACAAGGGGTAGATGTAAAAAGAAGAAATGGGCTTGGGCCTAAATAGAACCATTCCATTTACCATGAACTTTCTTTTTTATAAGTGGACCTTCAGAAAACCGACCAGTGTGCCTCGCTTTTTTCAGCCTTTAGAAAAATGCAGTGAACTCACCTTATTCTGCCATTTTAAGGCAAATTTGAGACACGTTAGGCATGCAGTTAGCACAGTGCTAGGCCAGTGGGATATAAGCCTCCCCTAGATTTACTTATGTGGTTTTCTCACATGTATCACAAAGCTAAAACAGTAGCAGCCATCCTGAAACCTGAACTTTATAAGTACTTTAGTCCATATTTATAGATATCAGCATGTCATAGTGTCAGAAACCACATAAGCAAGTTTGAGAAGCAGTTTGAAGCAACTGAGCGACGATTTAGCCTTGTTGTTTGTACAAAGCTACTTGTTAGCTACATTAGCCTCACAGCTAAAGAGGCAAACTGTGGAAACCAAAGCAGAAACTGTGTACATTTGATTTTATTTGATCAGCTTATTCCTTTAAAATACAGTCAGTTAGATGAGAAAGAGAGGATGTTTGGAAAGGTTCAGCAGGTTCTACCGACTTCCGCCAAGTTCTCCACACCAACTTGGCAGCGGCACCCACTAAAAGAAGCAGACGAACTAGAGTCCGCTCCAGTGGCAGCCACAGCCCACCGCAAGCACAAACATTCGCAATCATTCTGGTCAGCGGTTACCATGATTCGACCCTGCATGCTGCTTAGAAATTAAATGCATTTTCAACATCATCATCGACCTCATCCAAAGCCCAGTGCCAGTCCTCATGGCCCACATCTAGAACCCTGCAAGGGAGGAAGAGCGCCAAGATTCAGCCAACAAAGAGGGAACTCCACTGCTAAAGGCTGTCCAGTAGAGGCAAGCCATTGCCAGCTACAGGATGCTACCTGGATTTGGGAGACTCAACACTTTATTCTAAAACCCTGAGCTTTCCCTCGACCTTGTGGGCAAAGCCCAACAAGGATCCAGCCCAAATCAGAAAGGCTAAGAGTAAATAAATCTGTAAATAAATAGCATCTGAAGGCTGTGTGATCATCATCAAATGAGTCTAAATCAACATTTTTGAAAAATGGAGAAAGTTCTGTGTTGGAAGTGTTGATTTAATTTGCATAAAAATGCATATTTTGCTACACAGCCTTCAAATAAAGTTCTAGTATCTACATCTACGTTTCAGCCCCCAAATAAGCTTCAAGTTGGGCCAAACTGAACACAAAGCAACTCTATGCATTGTTAGTGGCAAAGAACATGCCATGGATGCTGAGTTCACGACAGATTACCAGTGCACCATTAAAGTAGCCGTTTCCACAGCGTGCAAATTTGGAAAATGATCTGGAGCTGAAGTGACCCGTGTGCCGTTTTTCAGGCCTTTTTAGAAGACGCACGGTATGAAACTCCTGAATGGATGCCTCATACTGTGCCCGAAGACTCGTTTTACGATTGAGACCTCTTCAGCTCCAGCTCATTTGAATGCTATTTGAATGTGTTAGCGCTACAAAGAAACTCCCCATCCAGCTACTTTCACCCAGTTGCAAACTCGGGGTCGAATTTGGTCGGAGTACAAGGTCTCAGAACCTCCTCTTTCCTGTCCATGTGGTCTTTGTGGCACTTGATTTGGCACCGTTGGCACTCCAGAGCCAGAGGAGGCTTGAACATGTTCCAGAGGGGTTTAGTGCAGGCTTCACAGTTGGTGGGGAAGTGGTAGAGAGTGGGCATAAACTCATGACCCTTGTGGTAGATGAATTTCTCCCTGCCTGGAGGGGGCGATGCAGGCTCCTTAGAGTTGTGCACAGCCCTGTGTGTCATACAGAGTTGCACTACATAACCAGCACCAAATGTATCCCATGCCTCAAAGGGGAATCCCACTGATTTTTCAAAATTTCTGCAGCATTAAATGAGTGAGATATAATCAGAGTGATTCAGAGTGGGTTTGGTGTGAAATGGTTCAGATGTCTTCACAGTGGTGGTGATAGGAACCAGGGGTCGCCATGACTACAACACAAATATAGACATTTTATTTACTATCCAAAACCACCAGTGAACCTACAGGAGGCTAAGTTTTTAATTGGAATGCTGATGATGGTAAAACAGTAGTAAATCTGAAAAAATATGTTTCCTTTGGGGAATATTTTGCCTCAGAATGTCCTTCATGCACCTCGGCACTATGAATATATTTTTAAAATAAATTTTAGGCCAAAACCTTATTAAAACATCATAAAACGATATGCATCAGGCAATGTATTCGCAATCATTTCATTTCATAACTTTCTATGAGGCATTAAGCTCTTTGGATGTCTGGTTCCTATCACCACCGCTGTGAACAGTCCTGATTTGTTAAGTTTGTAGAACGGAGCATTTCACACCAAACCACTCTGAATGACTTTGTTTACATCTTAATTATTCAGTTATGCACACATTTAAAAAAAATCTGTGGAATTCCTCTTTACAATGATGACTAATGACTAAGATACCCAAACAAAGGACAAATGCTAACAAAATGCAAACTCATCCAAATTAACTTTTACTAGCCAAGTTAACATTCTATTCTATTTTAACAATTTATTGTTTACCAGTATGAACAACCACAAACCTCACTTTTGACCCATTTTGTATGATAATCATTTAGCTTATTTCAGCATTAAAAGTAGAAACAATACAGCCATAAAAGCCCTCTGAGGCAGAACTGGATCAGCAGTCTGAATGTAACACACAGCCTTGATTATGAGAAAAGACATGGATACAAACACTGAGAAGAAACATTAACGTTACAGAAACCCGTTGAAGCAGAACCTGAGGCTCATTCTCACCTGGGTTTGCTGGCTGGTAGCTGTCGGCTGGGTCTCCTCATAGACTGGCTGGCCTGTACTTTAACGGGGGCGCGAGGAGAGGAGCGGTGGGTTGCCTCCGGCGCAGGCGGCTTTTTGGGGATTTTCTTGACGAGCCTGCTGACCCATTTCTGCTGCTCTTCCTGAGATGCAGCCAGCAGCAGCAGGTTCTTGGCTGTAGACACGTCGTAGTTCACTGGAAAGAGGAGGAAAAAACTAGAGCTCAAAATAGGAACTATGCAAGTGTTAGGGGTTCCACACGGTTCAATACTAGGCCCTACAAGAAGATCTGAAGAACTCCAAATAATCCTGACTATAATGCCGCTCAGGCTTAGTTTGGTTTAGCTTTATTTACATCCCAGGGTGTACAAATATATGTGTAAGTAAAAGTTGGTCCTAGTATTGGCTTAGCTTGATTTACCTTAGGCCAGGAGTCGACAACATGTGGCTCTTTTACAGCTCTGTTGCGGCTCCACAGCAGAATTCAATTTTTAGGTACAAATAAAATAATAAAATAATCCTCCTTTGCAGTAAAATAAAGCTCTGCTGATTGTTAACACAGTTTACCAATAAATGGTCTTAAACGCTGGAATTAATTCATAAAAGGTCTTAAACACCGCTAATTCACCCTTTAACCCTACACAACCGACACGCAGACTGCTGGTCACCATAGCAACGCAGACATCAATCTTGCCTAGTAGCTAAGGAGGCAAAGAGAAAGATTTAAGATGAACATTGATAATTTAAAGACGAATGGACTTATTTGCATTTATAATCAAGTCGTGAAGCTGAAGTCTCGTTCAAATTTTCCCGTTCCACCTTAAATGGTGCAGCAGTTCTGGCGCCACAGGCAGCACTTAAGGTGGAACAAAAAAATTCAGACAAGAAGCTGGAGAATGAGAAGCGACTTCAGCTTTTTTTTTAAAGTTAAGAGACAGTTTACTGCCAGAGATGTGAGAAAAGCGACTATAGCTGAAGTAAAGCTTAGCGCAGAGGTAAGTAAGTCTGTGTTTTTGTTTATATGGTATTTTTAGCCTACAGTAGTACATCAGCACATACTGAGACAAATCTACAGTCAAGACGGTAAAAAATTACTTCAACAAAATGGTCTTAAGATGTTGTGGCTCCCAGGGGGGTTTGATTTGTATTGAAAGGACAAAATGGATCTTCATAACGTTTGAGTAACCAAGCCGCTTCCTTAGGCTGATACAAAGTGCATAACAGCAAATAGATCTTGCTACAGAATTTATGGTATAGTTTCTTTCAAACAAACCAATTCATCAACTGACTTGAACAGAAACTCTCTGACCGGCTTCACCCACCTCTACATGGTGCAATGATCTCTTCTTTCTTGTCCATGTGGTCTTTGTGGCACTTGATGTGGCATCTTCGGCACTCCAGGGCGGGAGGTGGCTTGAACATGTTCCACAGGGGTTTGGTGCAGGCCTCACAGTTAGTGGGGAAATGGTAGAGGGTGGGGATGAACTCGTGACCCTTGTGGCAGATGTAGCTGGACTTCTCCCCGATGGGTAGAGGCTCCAGCTCCTGCTCCTTCTTACTCTCGCCCTCATTAGCGTACAAGATCTGGGAAGGAAACACAGCAGCGGGGGCTTCAGAATGGACTCAAACTGGACTGCAGGGTGACCGTTTAACTACACAACAGTTGTTTTTCGTGCTTCTGAACAGACTTATGTGGAATTATTGGGGGGTTTCTGTAGAATATAGCCAGAAATAGTGCACAGCAATTAAATAACAGCGAGACATAAGCACTCAGGCATGCATAAACATCTTATGTGCCACATAAACTCCACAAACAGAAACTCTAATATGTTTCATTTGAATTATTAAGCAAACAAAGTTAAGAACCATGAAGACTCATCAGGGAAACATTCGCCTTTCAGAAAGAAGTGTTTAGACCGTAAGTGGGGAGGATTTCTGTTATCATACCTGAAATATTCTGGGAATCTCTTTAGCGTCAGCACGGTACACATCTGTCTGCGTGACGGATCGAACGTGGAAGAGTTTACTGTGGAAAGAGAAACAAAGACGTGTGAGAGAAGAAGAGGCCAAACCAGCCCGTTTTTACTCTTCCCTGTACATGAACTCCGCTTATGCAGCACAAAGACAAACTGTACAGAACAACTGAACCATCCGCAACTGTGTTGTGTTACTTAAATTGACTTAATCCAGAGAATCAATGAGCAAGAAATGTGAGGCTTTCAGAACTGGGACCAAAAATGTAATTTAGTCAGTTTTTCCCCTTCCTCCAAATGTAGTCAGTCTGACAAGACATGGTCTGTGTCCAGTTCTTCAGTTTTGCACTGGAGCTCTAAAGCTAATGCAGATAACAAGTAACAGAAGCATGTATCCCACAGACCCAGCATTGTACAAACTGTAGCTGATTGATTACATGGACACCGGAGGTTGTGCATCATTTTTTAGTCTATGTCATGCCCAAATAAGGAGCTCTGGGTCTAAGCGTTTTTTCTTTATGGGAAAAATGTATGGTACTAGCTCTCTCTCACCCTGCACTGTTAGAAATAAAGGTTCTGTTCAGGTACATTTTTCATTCATCAAGGTACAAACAATGTAAACGTTCCCTCAAAGGTTCTGCAGTGTTTTTTTTTTTTACCCGATTTTCTCCCAAATTTAGTCGTCTCCAATTCCACCTGCTAGTTAGGACTCCCCCAATCACACGCGATACTATCAACGCTAGGAGGGTGAAGGCTAACACAGGCTTCCTCCGAGACCTGAGAAACCAGCCACCGCTTCTTTCCGAGCTGCCGCTCACGCAACGTCATTGGACAGCCGAACGCACTCGGAGGAAAGCGCCAACCGCCAGATCTGCTACGTCAGCTAACAGACACCTGCGCTGACTAGCATCGCGCTGAGTGAGTGATGGGGGGGAGAAGGACAGCCATCCCACCCACCCAGAGAGAGCGAGGCCAGTTGTGCTCTCTCTGACTCCCGGCTACGAATGGCTGTAGCATCACCAGGGATCGAACTCGCGATCTCCTGATGATAGGGCCAACGCTTAGACGGTTGCGCCACTCGGGAGCCCCCAAACAGTGGTTTTAAGGTCCAATTATGTCCTTTAAATGTGTTTTCCTAGTGCAAAAAGTTCATATTTGTACCTTTTCATAACCGATTGATTTAAAACAGAACAGTAAAATAAAAGCATGGAGGCGAGACGGGGTGTGTGGAGTCAGTACAGCTTAGAACATATCATTTCAGTGGATTATTGTACAGTTATGTTCCCTGACTAAAGGTACTGAGATGGACCCTTGAGGGTCCTGCCCAGTGACAAGAGGGGCACTGCCCCAGTTTACTACCTTAATGTGTGCGGTAAACATAAAACACAATTTTTCCTGTGTATATTATTTCCCTGAATATCACCACATCCAAATTTACAAGGCCGTTAAGTAGCTAAAAACTGAATGCTACATGCTAACACTCCTAACTGTTGTCCCATGGAAGTGATATCAATACTAATATGACTAAACACCTACGAAAACCTTAGCCTAAAACTGGCATACTGGTTTTGGTGAGGCACTTGGGTGAGGTTGCCAGTCTTATGTCAATTCAATGCACAGCTAGGGCTGAACAATTTGGATAAAATATCTAATTGCGATTTTTCCGACTAATCCTGCGACTGCATTTTAAATAGCGATTTTTAATAAACTGAGATTCAGGCCTGTTTTATTTTGGCCAAGAAGACCAGAATATCCACCTTTTCTGGCTTGAGGCTCGACCCCTGAACGTAGTGTGTCAAACTGCCAGTAAGCTGTGGTTGTGAGGTCACAACATGTGGAGGTTCGGTTGCCTCTGATTGGTCCAACTCATCTAAAGTCATTTCACAAACTCTTATTAGGTTTAATTTCCCCTCTTAAAACTTAAAACAACATTTCTGCTAATGTACACATTGAAAAATGATGGTCCTTCAAGGGTTCTTTACTAAAGACAGTGGTTCTAGAACCACTATAGAACCATAAACACTCAATGACTCTTTTGCATGCTTAAAAAGTTCTTTAGATTGTGAAATGGTTCTTTGGATTTATGGTGAATGTGTTGTTTATGGTTCTTTATAGCACCAAATGTTCTTCTATTGTTACAATTAATCTGAAGAGCCGTTGCACCATGCACAGAACCTATTAAGCATGCAAATAAGTGTTTCACGGTTCTATATTGTCTTTACTAAAGAACTTTTTTTAGAATCTTGAACTATTTTTTATGAGTGTTGGCTATATTTTCTAACAGAATAAATACAGCTCTTGCAATTTGAAAATGGCTTTCAAGTCTTAAATTGCGATTTTGATATAAAACTTTCAGCTCTATGCACAGCATTGTTGATTTTCTAAGTAAAAATACGTTAACACAAGTTTACACACCTCTACAGAAAACAAAAAATTGTTCATTTTGGTGCACAATTACTGCTTATTGGCTAAATTTAAAATGTTGCAAAAAAAAATGGTTAATTTTAAATTTCATGTTTTTAGTATTCTTTCCTAATAAACTCAGCAAATAAATGAAATTATGCACTAGAATTTGCAGAGAAAAAAAGGCATGCAAAAGTGTTTCCTCTGTAGAGAATGTGTTGCCTTATTGTCACTTAGAAAATCAACAAAACATGCAATTTCATCAGAGGTGCCCGAAGTTTTGCATATGTCTGTAAATCTGTCTTTAAATTAATGTAAAAAATCATGCTTAATAAAAAAAGTGGAAGGACGGAACCCAGAATATTCTTGAGTGAAAGAAAAAGTGTTGACGTTGAAACTTACTCAAGTATATGAAAGTGAAAAGTAAACAACTTAACTGATCCTGTCTTCTCATTTTGACTACCAGACCTCGTAGCTCAGAGGATCCGGTGACGTTTGTGGGAAAAATGTACGCAGGACGAAACGTATCAGCTCTGGAATGTTTCTGTTTAGCACTGGATGCAACAGGGGAGATTTTCAAAACTTTCGAAACAAACAGCTCAGACCCAGAGCTACAGAATGACCACACATCTTCAGAAGTCTATTTGGGATGAGAGCGACATTCTGTCTACTTCACTTCTGGCTGAACAGCTGCTTTAAACAGCGATGCAGATAATACCCACTCTATATCCAACACCATGCATGGATTGGAGTGCTCTTTGTCCTGCTCGCTGTTGTAGAAGAGGATCTTCTTACTGCTCACCACAACATACTGCAGGAAGAAAAAGAGGTCAAGTCTGATACCCGTCGAATCACCGACTCACTCACAGCTTTCCAGGAAATATATGAACAAATCTGAGTGTGGTTAGCGAACCTTTCTCTCCCAGCCAAAGCGTTTGGTGTTGTTCCTCACAGGAAGAGACAGCCAGCCCTCCAGTCGAGTCTCTGTGCAGAAAAAGAGAAACATTGAACGACACTGCTGCATCTGTGGATCGTCTTCTTCTGTGTTTAGAGGCTGTCCTGTAGGCCTGAGCGATTTGGGGAAAATATCTAATTGCATTTTGTCTGACTAATATTGCGACTGCAATTTAAATTGCGATTTTATTTTATAAACTGAGATTCAGGCCTGATTTATTTCGGCCAAGAAGACCAGAATATCCACCTTTCTGGCTTGAGGCTCGACCCCTGAACATATTGTGCCAAACTGCCATTAAGTTGTGGCTGTGATGTCATGATCTGGTTGCCTCTGATTGGTCCAACTCTTCTACAGGCATTTCACAAACTCTTATTAGGTTAAATTTCCCCTCTTGAAACTTAAAACAATGTTTTTGATAATGTACACACTTAAAAAAAGATGGTTCTTCAAGGGTTCTTTAGTAAAGACAGTGGTTCTATATAGTACCATAAACACTCAATGAGCCATTTGCATGCGTAGGAAGTTCTTTGCATGGTGAAACGGTTCTTTAGATTTACATTTACATTTTATGGCATTTGGCAGACGCTCTTATCCAGAGTGACTTACAATTTAATCATTTTTACACAGGTAGGCGAAGGTAGTGTTAGGAGTCTTGCCCAAGGACTCTTATTGGTAAAGCGTAGGGTGTTTGCCCAGGTGGGGCTTGAACTCCAGCCTACAGCGTGGAAGGCAGAGATATTACCCACTACACTATACACTATACCAACCACTATACCACTATACCAACCATTGATGGAGATTGTGTTGTATATGGTTCTATACAGCACCTTTTTGAAAAGGGTTCTATATAGCACCTAAATGTTCTTCTGTTGTTACAAGCTTGACATCGCAACAATAGCAGAACCCTTTTTGGTGCTATATAGAACCACATACTCCATCAATCTAAAGAACCATTTCACCATGCAAAGAACCATTTAAGCATGCGAATGTCTCTCTGAGTACTTAAGGAATGATAGTTCTCACAAGCACCATCGTTTTTAAAAAATCTTGAAGAGTGTTGGCTATAATAAGAAAACTGCACTTAAAATTGCCTTAAATTGCGTTTTTGATAAAAAAAGATGAATTATTCAGCCCTACTTTGCCGAAGTGACGGCCTCCAAAACACAGAAAAACGAGCAACACTTCACACAATGTTCATTCAGAACCAAAACAAAGTCTCTAATACACACACATTTAACCTGCACTGCACTGAAGAGTGTTCAAAAGGTCAAAAGTGAGAAGCTTGCTGAAGGAAGATGAAGGGAGTGAGGAGGACAGCCTTTCAGGAAAAGGTGGAGGGGCAGAAAAAAGAGGGAGGAGAAAAGAAGAAAGAACTGATCTGTGGTAGAAAGAGAAAAGAAATATCAACTAATAAAAAGAAGACAGTAAAGACGAGAATATATAAACCTGATGGATGAACATGAACAACAGCGCAAAAGTTTGGAATCACTGGTTTCAATTATATATATATATATATATATATATATATATATATATATAGGGGGAGAGAGAGAGAGAGAGAGAGAGAGAGAGACAAGCATATTGCTGCTGTCGTATCTCCAATTTTTGTCGTTTTCCAGTTTTTGATATCATTTGAAAATGCTTGTTGCTCTTTACATTGTGAGTAAATTTAATGAGGAATGGACCAAAAGAAACGACCCAAAATGACTTGGAAAAAATTCTGGTTCCATTGACTTACACTGAAAGTAAAACAGGTTTTTTCTTTCTCCTGTAAAGTTACCATTTTGGAGATACAAGGTTTTTAATTAAAACTATAAAGCTAATTATAAAGAAGAAATAACTATAATAAAAGTAAAAAATAACTACTGAACAAAACATCTGAAAATATCTTTTCTGAAAAACTGTGCAGATGTTATTACTGTGTAAAATACGAATCACTAATCTTACAAGTGATTCCAGACTTTTGATAGTTTAACGATTCTAAAAATGGAAATAAAAATAAATAATAATAAAATAAATAACTAGAGCAGCTCGTGTAACTGACAGAAGGTGAAGTAAGCGTGTGGAAGGAAACCTGGTAGTGACTCATCCGTTTCGAAATCAGGGCCGCTGCTCATGCTGGCCGAGTCGAGGGAGTGGACGTTGAGGGAGTTTAAGAGGCCGCGGAGCTGCTCGATGTCGCTGTCCTTGCTGTCCAGAGCCATCTGCAGCTCCACCCGCATCACCGACTCCTCCGCCAGTTGCTGTGATAAGAAAGGCCACCAATTTTATCATCAACCAAACCAGCAACGAAAACGTGTTGAACACAGACAATACACTGTATAATTTTCACAAGATGTAATGCTCTATTTCTCATTAGGGAATCAGGATGTGGATCAGTGAGGTGGTCGATGAAGGGGATCGGTGTGGGGGTCAGTGTGCCAGTTAGTGTAGGGGATCAGTATGGGGGTCAATGAAGGGGATCAGTGAGGTGGTCGGTGAAGGGGATCGGTGTAGGGGTCAGTGTGGGAGTTAGTGTAGGGGATCAGTATGGGGGTCAATGAAGGGGATCAGTATGGGGGTCAGTGAAGGGGATCAGTGTGGGGGTTAGTGTAGGGGATCAGTATGTGGATCAGTGTGGGAGTTAGTGTAGAGGATCAGTATGGGGGTCAGTGAAGGGGATCGGTGTGGGGGTCAGTGTGGGAGTTAGTGTAGAGGATCAGTATGTGGGTCAGTGTGGTTGTCGGTGAAGGGGATCAGTGTGGGGGTTAGTGTAGAGGATCGGTGTGGGGGTCAGTGTGGTTGTCGGTGAAGGGGATCAGTGTGGGGGTTAGTGTAGGGGATCAGTATGGGGGTCAATGTGGTTGTCGGTGAAGGGGATCAGTGTGAGGGTTCATGTAGGGGATCAGTATGTGGGTCAGTGTGGTGGTTGGTGAAGGGGATCAGTGTCGGGATTAGTGTAGGGGATCAGTATGGGGGTCAGCGTTGGGGCTAGTGTAGAAGATCAGCACAGGGGGAGTCAGTGTAGGAGTTAGTGCAGGCGTTCAGTATAGGGGTCGGTTTGGGGTCAGGGATTAGCGTGGGGGTCAATGTGGGGGTCAAACACAATCAGATTTATGCAGTAATCTGATTATTCAAAAGGTCATGTAAACAGCACACTCTGATCTCTTAGATCGGAGTAAGGTCTAGAAATCCGGTTAAGAAATCGGATAAAGAGGCTGGATTTGAGCTCAGTAATCAGATTTCTCAGTTCTTACTCTGATTTCTTTTAGACTTCTCAGTGTTCTCACATGTGTGAAAACCGCGGCACCAGAAACAGCAAGCAGCGTTTAACACAGCACCCACAAGACACAACCAAACACATGTGGAGCGACACTGAAACCAACTACGTGTTCGATGAAACGAATGTTCTTCATCTTCTAGATGATGTGTGTTCATGTTTTCAGGCAAACTGGTGCAATGTTTAAAAAAAAAGCTGCAGCATTAAGTTTGAGTTTTACGTTACGTTTATGTCCCACATTATTCTGTGAGTTTATTGGCCGGTTGTAAAGCAGAAATCTGATTACTGTCTGACTCATGTAGACCTGGAGTTTCCCCATCATCTGATTACTCAAGTGCATGTAAACGCGTTGATCGGATTACTGACAAAATCAGATTTTCTGCAGTTTTCAGATTATTAAGTGCATGTAAACACACTCAGTGTAGGGATCAGGGATCTGCATGGAAGGGTCAGTGTGGGGGTCAGTGCGAGGCTTTAGACTGTGCGGTGACTGTGTGAGATCATACAAACACTGTGCAGTGATTAGTGATTGTGTATTAGAGTCGTATGGTGCTCAGTGTGGGTTTTTGATTGTACCGCCTGCATGTCGTTGATCTCTCGCTGGTATTTGATGATGGTGCTGTTGAGCTTCTCCTTTTCTGAACGCAGCTCCAGCTGCAACTTCCTGTTCTCTTTCTCCTTCCTCTTGACGTCCGTGTCGTTTCCACGGCGACTGCTGCCGCCACGCACCTCCTTCCTGTTCATGATCTCGGCCAGCTTGTTCACAGCCTGTTATTGAACGCCAACAACACAGGTCAACAGGTGTCCAAATTTCTGCATGATTAAATACTTAAGATGTAAACAAAGTCATTCAGAGTGGTTTGGTGTGAAATACTCTGCTCTAGAGAAAGTGGTGGTGATAGGAACCAGACGTCCACCACTAAAAGCTCCCTCACAGAAAGTTACTACATAAAATGGTTATGAATTCCCTGCCTGATGTCTGAGACATTATAATAGTTTGGAGAAGGTTTTGGCCATTCACGGTGGAGAGGTACAGCGTTGTGAGGCAAAACAGCCCTCAAGAAAACCTCTCTTTTAGATTTTCCACTAAAACTCAGAAGACTCGTGTAGGTTCACTGGTGGTTCTGGATAGTAAATAAAATGTCTATATTTGTGTTGTAGTCATGGCGACCCCTGGTTCCTATCACCACCACTGTAAAGAAATTGGTAAGTGTCTCTACAGTAAACCATTTTACAAAACAATTCCACTTTAACTTCCAAAAGATCGGCAAAATCTTACATTTTTCATATATTATTTTTGAACATGCAAATAAAAATTAAGCTACTTCACTGTAATAAACAATAAATTAGATTTCAAAGTCAAAAATGATGTCTTCTACATCCACAAGAGGACAAATATCAAGCATTTCCAAAAACTCGTGATATACATAAAATACACTACATCAACAACTGCTTACAATTAATTACAATTACATTTCTTCCTCTCCATCATCACTGACACCTTTTTAGAAGTTTAGGTGTCATCAGGAACTCATTTCTCACTATCTGGCATCCTAGCTGTTTAAAAACATAATACAGAAGTGGGTAAAGCGCTAAGACGTGGCTGTGTGTGCTTGCTGTAGCTCACCTGTGTTTTGAGGGTCCTCTCTGACTGCAGCTGCTTCTCATAAGCCAGCTTCATCTGAGTGATGGACTGCTCATCATCCTTCAGCTTCTGCAGGTCTAAAAATCAAAAACATTCAAATCATCAGGTGGAAAGAGCCCCTAAAGAGGGACTGCTGCGAAGTAATGTCCTCAACACTGAATAAGCCAAAACTTCTGAACTGAGAAAAATGACCAACATCATCCAGCTACAGTGTCCATGGGGAATTACAGTGATTATCAGTTTAAGATGTAAACAGAGTCGTTCAGAGTGGTTTGGTGTGAAACGCTCTGTTCTACAGAAACTTATAGAGTCAGAATTGTTCACAGTGGTGGTGATAGGAACCAGACGTCCACCTCAAAGTTAGAAGATTTTGGCCTAAAATGTATTTTTAAAATCCATTCATGGTGGAGGGACATGCAGGACATGCTGGTGGTTCTGGATAGTAAATAAAATGTCTATATCTGTGTTGTAGTCATGGCGACCCCTGGTTCCTATCACCACCACTGTAAAGAAATCTGATCCATTTCACACCAAACCACTCTGAATGACTCTCAAAACTGAAAAACTGGTGGAATTCCCCTTTCAAGAGCAGCAGTAGGTCACTCTAGGCTGAAGTGAGATGTCACTACGGAAACCACCTGCTGGGAAAGCCCCCAGTAAAACGCTCACCATCCTGTGCCTCCTTCAGCTTGTTGTTAAGTTCCTCCTTCTCATTGGCCAGGTTCGCCACATCACTCGTCAGTGTGCGGTTCGCTTCCTCCAACTGTACACAAACACACACAAGGAAAAGTCACAATTCACACAGATATCATCGTTAAGCATGTTTATCTAACAGCTGTATAATGCTTAGAGGTAAAAAAAACACAGTTATTGCTTAAAATCAATAAATAAAAATGCAATATGACAAAAATAACCTTTCATCACGGTTTATGATACAGCATACTGCATTTTCATTACATTGTGTATTTTGTGTATTGTATATATATATATGAAAATGCAGTATGCTGTATCACAAACCGTGATGAAAGGTTAGGTTATTTTTGTCATATTGCATTTTCAATTTTCAACAACGCAAATTCTCATAGCTTACATACACGAAGGAGCCTTCAGTCCAGCGGCCACAGCTGCCCAGCAAAACACCAAAAATAACAGCTCTGTGGTTTAATCCCTGCCTTATGTTTACTGGGAATAAATGTTGTTTGGTGAGGTTACTTCACAGTGAGCCTGATGACCATGACTGCCGTGTTATTTCAGCAGAGAATAATGTGTTTGTGAATATGTCAGATACTGGATGTCGGTTCGCCTTGACAAAACTGCGCGGGTGGGAGCGGGACAAAACGTTTCCATTGTGGGCTGGAACGGGACAAATGATTCCGATTTTTTTTTGGGAGCGGGATACAATCTTGTGGGAACAAGTGGAAGCATGACTAAAAAAAAAACAAAAAAAAAAACAGTCCTGTGCAGCCCTCCAATATGGTGAGGGTGTGCTGCTGTATAAAGCCTGAAATAATCATTTAAACGTAAGATTGGACAAAAGGCTCCTGGACTCACTGAGCTGATGGTGGTGTCCTTCTCGGCCAGTTCCTGCCTGTGTCTGGCCATCATCTCCTTGATCTCCAGCTCCTTCATGATCTTCTCCTTCTCCAGGTCAGAGTACTGCTCCTCAGCGATGGAGCGAGCCAGCTGCTCCGAGTCCGCCTTCGTCAGGGTGATCTCCAGCTGAGCGGCCAGAGAGTCCCTGAGAGAGACAAAGCATTCAGGCTAAACACGGTGGAAGAGACAAGACATTGAGATGCTCCCTACTAGCCAAGAACTATGACTGTTAGACCAGCTTCCCGTTAAAGATCTACAGAGTTACCCCAAATGCGGACAAAAATATGGACAGAACTCAGGATGGTCACAACTGTTATTATCTTTGAGACGTACTTTAGTCCATGTTTACAGACAACAGTGTATCACAGTGTCACATAATCAAGTCTAATAGAGTTACTTAACGACTCGTATATAGCATATATGATGATTCAGGCATGCAGTTAGCACCATGCTAATCAAGGGTGGGAAAAGTGAAAAGAATCTGCACAGGCCACATTTCATGTTTAATTTTTTCCAACCAAAATGTTAAATTCATAGAATGTAAATGAAAATCTAAGGAGTAAAATGTGTTTTTGTCAAAATGTATTTGAGTAAAAGTACAACTATTCAATTTTAATAATACTTGAGTAAAAAAATACTTTGGTATAGTAAAGAAGCACAATTACACAAAGTATTTTCTCCCTCAGGCTAATATAGACTAGCTTCCATTACTCGTTCAGTAGCATAAAAATAAAGAAGCAAATTTCAGACACCAAAGGTGTCTTGGCTGATCAGCGACATTTGGGGTAAAGAGGGGAAAACTGTATATTTGAATTAAACTATCGCTTTAAGTCTTAGACGGTTATTCGTTTAGCACACAAAACTCACTACATACATCACACATACACACTCACACACACACACACACTCACACATACACACACTCACACATACACACACACACACACACTTTAACTCACCTCTCCTCCTGCAGCTCCTGCAGATTCTGCTGCATGTCCTTATATAGCTTATTTCTCTCCTCACACTCTTCCTTCAGCTCGCGCACCTGAGTCTTATATAGTGTCTACAGAGACAGAGAGAGAGAGAGAGAGAGAGAGAGAGAGAGAGAGAGAGAGAGAGAGAGAGAGAAAGAGAGAGGGAGAGAGGGAGAGAGGGAGAGAAGGAGAGAGGGAGAGGGGGAGGGAGGGAGAGGGAGAGAGGGAGGGAGGGAGAGGGAGGGAGAAAGACAGAGCACATGAAAGAAGGGGAAAGAGAGAAAGAGAGATAAAGAGAGGGAGAGAGAGAAAAGGAGAGAAAGGGAGAGGGAGAAAGACAGCGCATGACAGAGAAGGGGAAAGCGAGAGAGAGAGAGAGATAAAGACAGAGAGAGAGAGAGAGAGAGAGAGACAGGAAGGGAGAGGAAGAGAGGGAGAGAAAGGAAGATGGAGAAAGAGCGCATGAAAGAGAAGGGGAAAGAGAGAAAGAGAGATAAAGACAGACGGAGAGAGAGAGAGAGAGAGAGAGACAGGAAGGGAGAGAGGGAGAAAGACAGAGCGCATGACAGAGAAGGGGAAAGCGAGAGAAAGAGAGATAAAGACAGACAGAGAGAGAGAGAGAGACAGAGAGAGAGAGAGAGAGAGAGAGAGAGAGAGAGAGAGAGAGAGAGCAAGGGGGGAGAGAGCGAGAGAGAATTGCTATGATTTTATTGAATAATATTCAATAAAAAAGTACAGTAGTTATTCATTTATAGTAAATACTTAATGATATCTGCTTTGGAATTGGATTGCCGCTCTTCAAATATGAGGCATCTGGATACTAATTTTATTAAAACTTCGTTCTTTCTCAGTTGTTAAAAAAGAATCATCTACAGCTCGTTTATCATTCTGGACACATCAGCTTCCTTCTAATGAGCTGAAATCTATTATAAGTCACAAAACAATCTTCATTTATCTAAAATTGAAAACAGTGACCCTTGTGTAAAATATCCCACGTGTTCAGGATTCTTGTCTGAAATCAATTTGCCAGAATAGGATCAAAATTCTCATTCAAAACTCTCATTCAAATTCTTATTGAACATCACTGATTTAGATGAAAGTGGAGGTGAACTGTAAAGCCTTCTACATGAGGACAGTGAATAAACTGACCACTGAACAGGTCAGTGATTAGATTAGTGTAGTTAAACAGCCTTACTGAGAAATACTGCTCTGCCTCCAGCTGATCCTGCAGCTCCTTCATCTGACCATCGGCATCCTGACGCTCCCTGTGAGTGTGTGAGTGAGAGAGAGAGAGAGAGAGAGAGAGAGAGAGAGAGAGAGAGAAATAATAGACAGGGAAGGGGGGCCAGGAAGAGAAGAGAAAAAGAGATGGGAGAAGGACAGGTAGAGAGAGAAAGAGAGAGAAAAAGAGATGGAAAAAAATGAGAAAGAAAAAGAGAAAGGGAGGGAAAGAAAGGGAGATTGACAAAGACAAAGAGAAAAAGAATGAGAGAGCGCAGGAGAGAGAAAAGAGTCAGGACAGTAGAGACAGAGAGAAATAAGGGACAGAGAAAGAAAGAGAGGTTGGGAGAGAAAGGAAGAAGAGAAAAGAGACAGATAACGAGAAGACAGAAAGAATGAAAGAAGTTATGAAAAGCTATCAAAGCACAAAAACATCATTCATCACAGAGCCTGTTCTGTGAGGCTGCTCACTTGCGCAGCTCCGTGTTCTGCTTCTCGAGGCTGCGTTTGATGTCCAGCAGGTGGTTGATCTCCTGCTTGAGCTGCTTCTCTGATGTTCGCAGCGTGCTCAGCTGCTGGTTCTGGACCTTCAGGTCATTCTGGGTCAGGCTGCGCTTCTGCATCTCCTGCTCGATCCTCAGAGAGAGGTTCTTCACCTGTATGCAGATAAATATCACAGCTGTTATGAGAAAACCGGGTATGTTCAATAAACTAACTTTTAGAAAGGAACTCATTCACATCTGCTAATTTAACATATCTACAAAAATCATTTTGGGTCCATACTGTATGTCCACTGAGCTGTGTTTTTATGCTGTACACCACACTAATTTTACCCCGATTTTAGCCCCGATTCTGGCCGAGTCTGTGCTGGTGGGCTTTGGTCTACAGATTTTTTGGTCAGTCGGAGTCGACAGTTGGAGAGAGAGTCAAGTTGTGTGCGAGAGGCGCAGACTCAGATTTCTGGCCTCCCAATCACGTTTCAGACTCAGTCGGAGTTTATGAAACGTAATTTTTGTGACCCGACTCTGAGCGCAATCTAGCGTAAACTGGTCAACGACTCAATCTGAACAGATTCCTGCAACAACCAATAAAAACTGAGAGCGCAAAAGAGGAAAATACAGCAAGTAAACAAAGAAAAATGGCGGGAAGTCTCTCGTGTGCAGCGAAGCTTTTTAATGAGCTGAGTTTAAGACACAAGCACAACCGAGATTATGTACACTTAAAACTCTAAAAATACCAGACTGATCACATTTTTAAATCCATGATCCTCACTTAAACATGTTTACCTGGCAGAGACAACAGCAGCAGCAGCTCCACCTTTGTTTTGGGTCTCCTAGTAACAGGAGCTCAGCTCATTAAAAAGCTTTGCTCCACACATGAGAGACTTTTTGCTATTTTTCTTTGTTTACTTGCTGTATTTTCTTCTTTTGTGCGCAAACGACTCGACTCTCTCTCCAACTGTCGACTCCAACTGACCCAAAAATCTGCAGACTAGAGCCGACTAGTACAGACTCAGCCAGACTGAAAATCGGGGCTAAAATCAGAGTAAAAGCAGCGTAACCCCGGCTCATCCCCGTCCCATCAGTACTCAGTGTTCCACAACCTCACCATTTACAAACAAATCACAATTTGATCCCTCAATGACGGTAAAAGAGTAAGCGCACCTCTTCATTGAGTCTGTCCTTGTGTCTGCGCAGCTCCTCGAGCTTCTGCAGGGCCTGCTTGTAGTCGCAGTCCAGCATGGAGTTCTGCTTCTCCAGCTCCAGAAGCCGGTTCTCCACGCGCAGCTTAGAGGCGCGTTCCTCCTGCAGCTTCTGCTCCAGTTCTGACCACAAACAACAACAACGCTGCAATTATACACCAGCCAGCCGAGACCAGTGAAGTATGCATGTAATCATCACTCCCACATACAAGACTCTAACCACAAAGTCACACTAGGCACACTAACCCCTTGTTCACTTCACAGCACATAAGTCCCGCTTTGTACACTAGGCCTTCATTCTCTTCATGGCATTAACATCTCGTAGCACACTCGCATTCACAGCTTATTAACTCCTTGTAGCCTTTATAGCACACTAAACCCTCAAACCCTCTGTAGTGCACTAGCCCGCTATACCCTTATCAGGACCCTTACACCAGCTCTTCAGATATGTTGTAGCACACTAGTTCCATATTACCCTATAAAGCACTCTAGCCTTTCATAAATCACACAACCTCCTCACAGCCTTTGTGGCACACTAGCCCACAACAGTACGCAACAGCCCATAACACATTTCTTGTAGCCTTTGTCCCATGCCAACCCCCTCATACCCTTTGTAGTACACTAGGCTCTCATATCTTTCATAGAACCCTTCAAGGCACACTAGCACTTTGTAGTGTATTAGCCCTGCGTTCGCATTTAATACTCCTTGTCTGTACACTAGCCCCTAATACCCTCTGTAGCACACTAGTTGCAGTGCCCTTTGTAGCACACTAGCCCCTGCTACCCTTCGCAGCACACTAGCTCCTACTACCCTTCATAGCAGACTGGCACCAGTGCCCATCGTAGCACACTAGCCCCAGTGCCCTTCATAGCACACTAGCCTCAGTGCCCTTCATAGCACACTAGCCCCAGTGCCCTTCGTAGCACACTAGCCCCAGTGCCCTTCATAGCACACTAGCCCCAGTGCCCTTCACAGCACACTAGCCCCAGTGCCCTTCGCAGCACACTAGCCCCAGTGCCCTTCGTAGCACACTAGCCCAGTGCCCGTCGTAGCACACTAGCCCAGTGCCCGTCGTAGCACACTAGCCCCAGTGCCCTTCATAGCACACTAGCCCCAGTGCCCTTCACAGCACACTAGCCCCAGTGCCCTTCATAGCACACTAGCCCCAGTGCCCTTCGCAGCACACTCGCCCCAGTGCCCTTCATAGCACACTAGCCCCAGTGCCCTTCATAGCACACTAGCCCAGTGCCCGTCGTAGCACACTAGCCCCAGTGCCCATCGTAGCACACTATCCCACGGATACCCTTCGTAGCACACTATCCCACGGATACCCTTCGTAGCACACTAGTCCCTGCTACCTTTCATAGCACACTAGCCCCTGCTACCCTTTGTAGCACACTAGCCCCAGTGCCCTTCACAGCACACTAGCCCCAGTGCCCTTCATAGCACACTAGCCCCAGTGCCCTTCGCAGCACACTAGCCCCAGTGCCCATCGTAGCATACTAGCCCCAGTGCCCATCGTTGCACACTAGCCCCAGTGCCCGTCGAAGCACACTATCCCACGGATACCCTTCGTAGCACACTAACTCCTAGTACTCTTCATAGCACACTAGCCCTTGACACTCTCTGTAGCACACTAGCCCCAGTATCCTTCACACTAGCCCCTGCTACCCTTTGTAGCACACTAGCTCCTAGTACCAATAGTAGCACATAGGCTTCACAGTATATGACCTCATATTCTTTATAAACGAAGGTGGACCCTTGTAACACACTTTGCACTCATACATAATCATTTCTCTCATATCTCTTAAACACTACAGCTCTTTTTCCAAGCATGTGGCACCTTTCATGGCCTCAGATTTGGCTCCCTCGATGGACTCGCTGATCTTGCTCTTGTCAGCCAGACGGGCTTTCGTGGCCTTGTGGCCCGCCTCCTCCTGCTCCAGGCTCTGCTGCAGCACCTTCAGCTTATACGTCATATCAATCTCCTTATTGCTCTTCTCCTATTGGGCACAAAAAAAATAGGAGGAACAATTAGGACGAGGAGCAGGGTCAAAATAATTACAATATTCAGTTATCTCAACGATATTGAAATATACCAATAATAAAAGGAAAACGGGAACATTTTATTATTGCGTGCATAGGAGGTGATCTGTAGCTGGTGGTTTGTTCGAATTAGTATCTGATTAGGTAGACAGACACTACCATGAGTTCAGATATCTGTACATGTGAATAAACATGTCCATGTCTAGACGCTATTTAGTTTGAGTGGTATTCGTCTTGTAAGCGTGGTGTCTGTGAGAAAGAAGCCGAATACCTTCTCCAGGTCGGTGAGTTTCTCCTGTAGCTGCCGCTTTTCACTCTCTGCTTTGGACAGAGCCTGTCTCGCCTGCCTCACCTCATCCTCCAGACTGGAGAGACGCGCTAGAAAGGGGGAAAGAGTAAAAGAAAGTGACAGAGAGAGAGAGAGAGAGACAGAGTAGAGAGAGAGTACAGAGAAGTGAGGCAGGATTGACTGTTCAAATGCAAAAACCACATTTACGCACATTCACCCCCAAACAAGGGTCATGAAATCAACTATAGGTGGATGATTATATCTCTGTGTATCTGTACTTTATGTCTAAGTATTTATTGCACTATTCTTATTTGCACAGTCAGTTACTGTACATGTTTCACTCTGCATACTTATCATTTAACATATGCTGCTCTCACTGTACATACTACCTACATTTGCATTCTCTCCACTCACTCTGTATATATGTATATTATATTTATACTTGCATATCTATATTTTGTTTACCACACTACCGTCCTTAATTGTACAGCATTGCTTACAATGGTTAGTTTTCAGCACTTTATATGTAAATAATACTGCATTTTGCACTTCTGGTTAGATGCTAACTGCATTTCATTGGCTCTGTACTCCACACAATGACAAAGTTGAATCTAATGTAATCTAATCTCTCCATCCTTCTCTTTTCTCTACATACTAGCCCCTTGTACCCAGTAGCCAGCATAGTGGACCTAAGCCTAGCCACTTTTGTCACTGTCCCACCTGAAACTACTGCTCATTTGCCATTTCATCATTAAAATCTTATTAATAAATAAACCAAAATAAGACTAAATATGCTTGCTAAACATGTGACGTACTCAAAAATTAAAGTTTTGGTACTAACCAGTCAAAACTGCAGTTTAACCATCTGCTGCTAATCATTTCAACCATGGAATAAAACAACAGCTTGTTATTAAAAAAAAAGCTGAAGCCATAAATGCCACAATAATAGACAGACAGACAGACAGAGAGACAGAGAGATAGATAGATAGAAATAGAGAAATCACAAACATATAAAAGTTATGTCGGATTATTGTTTCCTTGTGCAAAGTGATTTTAGATCTTATTCACTATGTCTGCGTTTTATGCATTCACTGTATTTATAGTTACTGATTCTTTTTACTCAAACCTCAGAAAAACTGAACAGACACCCTGTAGTTATGGCTACGTTTTCATTTGACGTAGACCCAGCAAATTAGCTCGCTTGTTAGCAACCAACTTGGCCAGATTCGTCATTCTCACCACAACATCGCCACCCACAGCTACAATGTTAACTACTAACTGCACCAAAACGAGGACTGTTGTGTCATCGCCAGTGGTCCAGTCGCCTGTGTCATAAAGAGGCAAGTCTATAGCGAGACTGCTGCGTTACCCTGCAGGTCGGAGATGGTCTCGGAGCGCTGCGTGTGTTCGCGTGTCTCTGTGTCCAGTGCGGCCTGCAGGCTGATGTAATCTTTCTCCAGAGACAGTTTACTGCTCTCCAGCAGACAGCACTTATCCTGCAGCTCCCTCACGTGCGTCTCCAGCTGCTGCAGCTGTTTACTGGAGTCGGTCTGCGCCTTCCGCAGCCGCGCTGCAGCGTCTGACTCGGCGCGCAGTAGGGCATTTGCTTCGTCCAGCTGCAGAGAAAAACATAGTACCTTATCAATAAAAAAAACTGGACAGCATCATATTTAGAATATACACCAGCAGCCAGATGTTTAACTACACTTGCTAAAACCCAGGTTTTATTCATAACTACTTAAAACAGGTTACTGGAGAAAAGTATTTATGGAAAAATGCACTGCAACTAGGGCCGTCACGATTATCCATAAAAAAAGTGAACGCATTTACATTTTGGTTCTCAATGAATCACCTTAGTGGTTAGTTTGTAATCTGAATCATAAACAGGGTATCCACTGATCATTATAAAGCTGTGTTAAGCAGTCTGAGCACACTGTCCACAAGGGGGCACTATTAGCACTCAAATAGTTTTTGTAAGTGTCACTGAAGGAGAAGAAACCCACACCAGCAGGAACTCAATGCATGCATGTTTGTAGTTTCACATTTTCCATATGTGAAGTAAAATTAAATGTCTGCTGTTACAAATTGTGTGTATATGAACTAAAACAGAGAATATTTTATTTGGGAATAGCAATGAGAGGCTCAGACTAGCTGCCTATCTGGATTCTAGAACCCTAAAATCTAAAGAACTAGTACGTAACCTTGGTGTACTAATGGACTCTGATCTCAGTGTTAGCAGTCGTGTCAAAGCTAATTGCTAAATCAGCTTTTTATCACCTTAAAAACATCAACAAGATCAGAGATTTTCTGACTAAAGCAGAGCTGGAGAAACTCATCAGCACCTTTATTTCTAGCAGGATTGATCACTGTAATGATCTCCTAACTGGACTCCCAAGAAAGACAATCAAACAGGTCTCACTAGGAGTAAAAGAAGTGAACACATCACACCCCATTCTTAAATCCTTTCACTGACTACCAGTCTGTTCCAGAATAGACTTGAAGATAATATTACTGGTTTATTAATCGCTCAGTGGTGCAGGAGCAGCATATTTATTTCATATGTTGCAGAGATATGATGCCAAGCAGAGCTCTCAGATCATTAGGAACTGGTCAGTTAGTCCTGCTGAAGGTGAAGACTAAACATGGAGAAGCAGCGTTTCACTACTACGCTGGTCTTAAATGGACCCAGTGGACAGAGAGCCTTAGAAGAACCCTGAGACTGGACACTTTATATCCAGACTCAAAACGTTCCAGTTTGAGCAGCTTTCAGCTCAGTTTAAACACTGTTAGCATTTCTAGCCCCTTTTTCTCTGTAACGGCACTTTTTATCCTAACTTTTTGATCCTACTGTTAATTTTATAATTAACTTTTCTTTTTTAAATATATTGTTAATCATTGTTAATCTCGTTTACTTTTTTTAAACAACTTCGCAGTTTTTGACTCTGTATTTTCTCATTTGTAAAGCACTTTGCATGACAGCAGTGAACAGCTCAGGAAACAACATTCAGAGTTAGGCTTTACACTATAAAACCGCAGCATACAAAGTAAAGAGTACGCCTTTATACTTGGATGTACGACACACATTTCACACCCTCCAAATGTCTGTGTCTAAGTAGAGCCGGCCTAATTAGTATTAAGCCACGCGTGGGAAGTAAATGGCATTTCTAGCTAGGTGCTAACATTACATTGAAACTACCATACATGTGGTAGCATGAACTAGCATTGCTACAGTGGTGGTACTCAGACTAAGTACAAAGTGAAGGTTTCTGCAATAAACAAACTCAAACAAAACTATATTGATTACTCCACTGTCAAATTAATTAGCGATTCATCTCTAAATTTAGCTCAAAATCACCCTTCAGAAGAAAATCACTAGAAACCCCCTTGTTTAGGGAGACCATTTTATCGCTGTTACAAAATATTTTGCATAATTAATATTTAGGACATGATACACTTTTATCAGCTCACATCCTTATTGTATATTAATCACGTGACCTCTTCTTTTCCTTTTCATTTCAGGGGCTTTCACCGCTGTGTACATGTCTAAATGAGTACATGATCATGCAATAAGGAAATAAGGAACGTGTGCTCGGCTGCTGCAGGCTGCTACAGGTACACACAGGTGTGCACATACCTGTCTCTGCAGGTGGATGTTTTTCTCGTTGGAAATGTGAGAATTCTGGTTTCTCTTCTTCATCTCCTCCAGCTGGTCTCTCAGACCGTTCACTGTAGAGCAAAACACAGTGTTAGGATCTGAACTGCGCATGAGTGAGAGCGAGGCAGACGGAGTGTGAGCGGTTACCTTCGTTTTCGAGGCAGCGTTTGCGATCTGCTTCACTCTCAGCCTTTCTGTGGCTCTCCACACTCTTGTGCTGCAGCAGAGCTTTCTCTCTCTCCAGCTGCCTCAGAGAAGACTCCAAAACCTTCCTACTGTTAATCTACACAACACATAGTTTACACATCAGGTCAAACATTATATACAGGCAATCTATATGTAATAATAATATGTCCCACTTGTATTATGTGTGTAAATACCTATATAATATCGCTGCTGTCTATCTCCATTTTTGTCGTTTTTCAGTTTTTGGCGTAATTTAAAAATGCCTGTTGCTCTTTACATTGTGTGTACATTTCGTGACGAACGGACCAAAAGAAACGGCGCAAAATTGCTTAGAAAAATGTCTGGTTCCATTGACTTACATTAAAAGTAAAGTATGTTTTACCTTCTGCTGTGAAGTTACCACATTTTTTCAATGTTATTCGAAAATACTTATTGTCCTTTATATTGTGTGCAATTTCAAGATGGAAGGACCAAAAGAAACGGCCCAAAATTACTTGGACAACAGTCTGGTTCCATTGACTTACATTAAAAGTAAAGTATGTTTTTTCCTTCACATGTAAAGTTACCATTTTGGAGATATAAGGTACATTTAATGGTTTCTAATCCTCACACAAAATGCAATATAAAACAAGGAGAAGACAAGTAAGCACAAAACAGCCCCTCTTTAGCTAGCAGTGGATTCAGCCTTTCCCGTCTCCCATGGCTACCGTTTTTGCCCAGCATCTTTCTGATGGTGGCATCACGAACGCCTTATCTGAGACGAGTGAGGCCAGCAGTTCTTTTGATAGTTGGTTGAGTAACTAAGGGGGCAATTACTTAAACACGGTGCCAGTTAATGCTGGATAACTAATGAATAATTTATAATTTAAAGACTACAGTTTGTGTTCACTCAGTTTGCCTTTGTCTTACACTACATGTGCAAAAACAGAAGAAATTAGGAGGGGGTAGAGACTTTTTCACAGCACTGCATTTTATGTACGTAATGATAATATGTCTCATACATATCCATCTATATCTATATATACACACATGTAATAACAATAATGTATTGTATTCATTTTATATATATATATAGATATATATATATATATATATATATATATATATATATATATATATATATATGTGTGTGTGTGTGTGTGTGTGTGTGATATATATGTATATATATACATACACACACTGATTATAATTATAATGACATAATAACAATAATAACGTCTCATTCTTTTGATAATATATTCAGGTATTTCTCTGTAATTATCATATGTCACACAGTCATGTCACCTCTTCTTCGAGCTCTTTGGTGATTTTGTCCAGTCGTCCACTGGTTGTCCTGTACTTGTGCTCCAGTTCATCTTTGGCCTGCATCTCGTTATTGAGCTGCTCCTCCAGGCAGTGGAGCTTCTTCTGGATCTGCAGCAAATTAGCATTAGCACTGCATTAGCCCAGCTTTAGCATAGCATTAGTACAGCATTAGCACAGCATCAGTGGCTCACTGTCACAGAATTAGCTCCTATTCTCTACACACTGTAGCATTTCCCTAATCTAATACACCTATTACAACAGGTAATTATGCATGTATGATTATGTATGTGGAATTTTATCAATGAGCCACAACAAGTTTGGTGTCTGAAGTTTGCTTCTTCAGTTTTGCACAGGAGCTACGATGCTAACGTAGCTAGCAATTAACAGAAGCGTCTGTACACCAGTTAGCAAAATGCTAAATCATCACACACCGTGTGGAGGTGTTCAGTAATCACTAATAGACATGCTTATGGTTTCTGACACTGTATGACACACTGTTACTCATAAACATGGACTAAAGTGCATTAGCATAGCCACCAGCTGCAGCCACAGTGAAGCCTGAATTTTGTCCGTACTTCTGTATGGACACCAAACTAATTTTTGCTGACCGACTATGGGGGAAAATGGTGTGTAGAGGTCATTCGCTTATCTCTATCTAGAGGTCAGTCAGAACAACAAGGATAATTATCAACAACAAGCAAGGCAGCCCGAGCTGTCGTCTTCAGGAAGGAAGTGGAGGACGTGTGTATACTCACTGCAACACTGTCCTGCAAGACAAAAGACAAAAAAAACGAAGGAAATAGTTAGAATACTTGGCAGAATTACTAACACTAGCACATCATGCCCACGTTACACTTTACAATCTTTTCTGTTAATTAATTCCTCAGAAAATGTAGCTGTCTGTGGCATAAAACAAGTTCACTTGCAATTTTATATGAATTATTTTATCTATTTTATCTTTATGAACTATCTAAACGAGTCTGTATGTGAGTGCATGGGCACACAGCGTCTCACCTCTCCTTTTGTAGGATGCTCTGCTGAACTGTTGGAAGCGCTCAACAACCTACAGAAGAGCGGGACTGACATTAGTGATGCTAGAAATACAATAATGAGTTCACAGCACAAGCAGTCTGACACATAGCAAGTAAATTAGAGCTGAACAATACAGGCATATATTTTATCATGATATATTTTTCCATTTTTTCTGATTTTTTTAAGGTGTTTCTCTAGGTCTCCACCTATCATACGATACTATCAGGCTGAGAGGGTGAAGACTAGCCTCTAGAACAATGCAACAGCTCAACACGCTTGGAGGAGAACACTAACTGCTAAATCTGGAGCTGACGGTTAGTGTAATACACAAAAGCAATTCATGATACATGAAACAACTATAAAATATGGATATTATTGTTTATTAAAAAGTGCTTTCATGTAATATATAAAAGAATACATGTGAAATAGATATGAATATTTATGAAAATAGTTGGCTAGCTAACTCTGTAGCTGTCCTGCTGCTTTGTGCTGTTGTGAGTGAACAGCTAGACTTCTTCCTCTCCTCTTTGTTACCAAGCGTACTAAAGTAGCAACTGTTTAAAGTTTAAGGCTTCGCTGCTAAAGGCAGATTGAGGAACAGAATGGCATAATCATTTTAACAAAAATACCTCAAGCGCATTATTAATACAAAAAAAAAAAAAAATTCTGATAGCTATCAGTATCGTTTCATCCTCTTCTTACTGGTCTTCTTTGAAGTAGGTGAAGCCGACGAAGGGGAGCTGGTTCCCCACAAAAGCTTTGGGCGTAGGAAACGTCTCCACATCTCCTTTATCCTCTTCGATCTCGTCAAAATTGCTTGTGTCGATATCGCTGATCAACTCTGGGACCACCGGGGCTGCCGCTGCAGCGAGACGGAGAAAAGCGCTCAATATTAAAACAATGCACTCTGTAAACACTACACACTGCAAATACACAGATTCATAACTCGCTGCTGTAGTTTGTTACTCACTGTCTCTGATTGTGTCAAAGGTCCACTGGTCATTTCTGAAGAAAGGGTGACGTTTAATCTCCTCCACACCATTACGGCCTAAACGGACCTCCCTAAAATGCAAGCACAGACAGTCATAGACAAAAGCTTGAACACCCAGTCAAACTATGTTTTGTTGATTTTCTAAGTGTGACGCACTTTTATGTGGCATTTTACTGCAAATTGTAGTGCGCAAGTTCTAATTATTTAAGTTTAACTGAATTTGCTGAGTAAAATATAAAAGGCCACACTTTGTTTTTTATTTTCCCAATATGTTTAATTCAGCACATAAACAGAAATTGCGCAGTAAAATGTGCAGAAGTGTGTTCTCTGTAGAGGATGTGCTAACTTATTCACACTTAGAAAATAAAAAAAACAAACTTTTGCCCACACAGTGCTGAAACAGGTTATTCGTGACAACCACTGCACACTAAAACAGGCGTATTAAACTGACAACCTGTGACCAGGAAAAGTCACAGGAAACAACACAACACAACACAAAATTAGTTCAATTAATTTACTGTCAACATGTTATACTGTAGAAATAATCGTTAGTTGTGGAATTTGAGCTGGTCTGCTGGACAGATGAGAAAAGCTGACCTGTCTGTCAGGAAAGCACAGATAATGTCTTTGGCCTCCTTAGAGATCTCCACATCATCAGGGAAGTTCAGAGAGTTCTTGTGATCCATAATTTTACTGTAGGTCCCCACTAGTGAGTCGGCGTAGAATGGAGTATCACCTGTTCCAAAAAAAAATAAAATAAAATATATCGCTGTTGTCAGAACAAAACCTCGTATCTCCAAAATGGTAACTTTGCAGGAGAAGGTAAAAAACTTACTTTAATTTTAATGTAAGTCAATGGAACCAGACTTTTTCCTAAGTAAATTCAGGCCATTTCTTTTGGTCCATTCATCATGAAATTTACAGACAATGTAAAGAATAACAGGCATTTTCGAATTGTGACAAAAACTGAAAAATGACAAAAAAATTAGATACAAGGTTTTGTATCTCCATTTGTGCTGTTTTTAGTTTTAATTTTTGCTTTTCATTAGAAAAGATTTGACATTGTGTGAACATTTCATGATAAATGGATCAATAAAAATGCTCCAAAACTATAAAAATATTAAAATTATAAAAATGCTTTTCCTCCTCCTGAAAAGAAGTTAAGATGAGGTTTTGTTCCAACAGCATATCCATTCGTCTCCATATAAATATTTATATAAAAATGTATCTGCATGCAGGTACCTTTATGTATTAATAAGTGCCATATATATTATACAAAAGCAATTGTATCACAGATGTAAGTTCACAGACTTCCAGTTGCTGATTGGGCATGAATTAACATGTTGATGATGTCACACACACAGGCACATCCCACCACTCACCCACGAGCAACTCGAAGATGAACACTCCCACAGACCACCAGTCGCACTCTCGGCCGTAGTAGCCGTCTCCTCCCTGCGACTTCAGGACCTCGGGTGAGATGTAGTCGGGCGTTCCCACCGCCGTGTCGCAGTGCACCATACCCGTCTGCAATCACACAGCACACGTCACCACTTCACCGCCTCACAGTCACACTTTAACAACGTCATATTCGATTGTGACGTCATGAGACGCTTCAGCCAAACAGGCTAACATAGCTCAGAACAAAAGGTATCTAACACAGGTGTGAACACCAAACAAACATCTGTGTGTGTTCATCCCAAAGTACTCTCAGCTTTCATTCCTTGTTAGCTACATTAGCCTCATAGCTAATGTAGCCTTCAAATATCTCTATAGTGTAAAGATTTTTTTTGCTTTTCTATTTATAATGTTTATATTGTTAACTATGTAAAATCCAGGTAAAATATCCTTGCAGTGTAAAAATATCCTAGCTTTAATTATTTATAATCCTTTATATTGTTCATTTTTGTGAAGGATAGAGTTTTTAGTATTATATACACCGATCAGGCATAACATTATGACCACCTCCTTGTTTCTACGCTCACTGTCCATTTTATCAGCTCCACTTACTACATAGGTGCACTTTGTAGTTCTACAGTTACAGACTGTAGTCCATCTGTTTCTCTGCATACTTTGTTAGCCCCCTTTTACCCTGTTCTTCAGTGGTCAGGACCCCCTCAGCACTGCAGTAACACTGACGTGGTGGTGGTGTGTTAGTGTGTGTTGTGCTGGTACGAGTGGATCAGACACAGCAGTGCTGCTGGAGTTTTTAAACACTGTGTCCACTCACTGTCCACTCTATTAGACACTCCTACCTTGTCAGTCCACCTTGTAGATGTAACGTCAGAGACGATAGCTCATCTGCTGCTGCACAGTTTGTGTTGGTCATCCTCTAGTCCTTCATCAGTGGTCACAGGACGCTGCCCACTGGACGCTGTTGGCTGGATATTTTTGGTTGGTGGACTATTCTCAGTCCAGCAGTGACACTGAGGTGTTTTAAAACTCCAGCAGCACTGCTGTGTCTGATCCACTCAGACCAGAGCAACACACTAACACACCACCACCACGTCAGTGTTACTGCATATGTTATACCTGATTGCTGTATATCCACTTATTCAGCCTACAGCAGTTTAGCTCTGCTCTTTCACGCTGAATGAGTGAACGAGCCAATCAGAAAAGGGGATGGTTTTGGTACATAAAACCACATTAATCTCGGGAGGAAAAAACAAATGCAAGGAACATGGAGGATATGGGCCCTTTAAGTTGTTCCACTCTATAAAGCCGGCCTTAGATTTCTTGCTGAACTAAACTTAATTTAGAGGCCCATGTCTGATTCACCTGCTCCGAAACGAGTCATTTCTATTGTGTGATGCTGTATCTGTGCACTAGGTGGCAGTATTACACAGACAGAACAAATACAGACTCCCCCCTGAGAAAATCACAAGTTATTCTCACCACAGTCCCCTTCACTAATCTTCTCCTACAGCCATTTACTTTAGCTGAGTAGGTTCTTTTACGCTCATTATCTATGCCGCTTATCCTCCTGGATCGCGGGGGGAGCCAGAGCCCCCAGCATATCCCAGCATTCACTGGGTGGAAGGCCAGAAACACCCTGGACAGGCCGCCAGTCCATCACTGTTCTTTTATACTATATTAGTTTATATTAATTAGGGCTGAACGATTTGGGGAAAATATCTAATTGCGATTTTTTCGACTAATATTGCGACTGATTTTTATAAACTGAGATTCAGGCCTGATTTATTTTGGCCAAGAAGACCAGAATATCCACCTTTCTGGCTTGAGGATCGACCCCTGAACGTACTGTGCCAAACTGCCATTATGTTGTGGTTGCGATGTCACAACACATGGAGGTCTGGTTGCCTCTGATTGGTCCAACTCATCTACAGGCATTTCACAAACTCTGATTAGGTTCAGTTTCCCCTCTTAAAACTTACAAAAGATGGTTCTTCAAGGCTTCTTCTTTATGGTTCTATATAGAACCATAAACACTCAATGACTCTTTTGCATGCTTAAAAAGTTCTTTGCGTGGTGAAATTGTTCTATAGATTGACGGAGAATGTGTTGTATATGGTTCTATAGAGCACCTTTTTTGAAAAAAGGTTCTCTAGAGCACCAAAATGTTCTTCTACTGTTACAAGCTTTATAGCGTAACAATAGCAGAACCCTTTCTGATGCTACACAGAACCATACACAACACATTCTCCATCAATCCGAAGAACGATTTCACCAAGCAAAGAACTTTTTGAGCATGCAGGTGGGTCACTGAGTGTTTATGGTTCTGTATAGAATGATTCTTTTCTACTGAAGAACCATCTTTTCTAAGAACCTTGAAGAACTATGTTTTTAAGAGTGTAGGCTATTATTAAAAAAAATTGCAGCTCTTGCAGTGCTATTTGTAAATAACACTGTCTTAAATTGTGATTTCGGTATAAAAACGATTCATCGTTCAGCCCTAACATTAATATTAATGTACACAACAATAATATTAGCATGAATAATTAAGGCTGCTGTTTACTTCTGTGAAGTACTTGAAGACTACATGCCATCATTTTCGATGTTAACGTTCACAATTGTTTTTTCTTTAATAAAGTAGTAGATTTTTTTTAGTTGTTGTACCAAATATGGTATCGGGAAATGTAATTTCAATATTATTGGTATCACCTACTAGAATCCTGCTATTGCACAGAGCCTATCGACAATCTGCGATTTCATCAGTAACCAGCCTTAGATAGCTGCACCACTTCTGAGCCTGAGTCACCTAATGTTTCCATCTCACAGCAAAACAGACTGAACTAGAGAATCTGAACAAAAACACCATCACCATTATTAAAACAACAAAAACAGGCCAAATGTCTTCAAACCTCATCTTCAGCTCTTTTGTTACAACACAACAAAAATGCCTTTTCTATCAGGAGAAAATTAAAGATAATTAACAGAAAACAAAGCCACAATGATCTTAGCTTCACCCCCAGTGAGACAATATTTATGTTAAGAACTTTTCCGTTTAGTTTAAAGGAGTATTTAATCAAAAAATCTAATTAGATTATCCAATCTAATTTGGATATTTGGAGTCCAAATTTTGCTTCTTTAGGAGCAGCAAGGCTAACACTGCTAACAAACACTAGAACTCAATAGTCACCTAAATAGCCTGAATTGATTCTGTGAAAATGCATCCCACTCATAGCTTATCCAGGTCTTCATTAAGGTCAGAGAGAGTTGTTGATGCGGACTTACTGCCCACATGGACAAGTCTGTGTCTCTAAACGACTGACATCAACTGGGGTGAGTGGAAAACTGAAATTTGATATTTTTCGACAATCTATTTCCTTAAAAAGTGTGAAAACAGAGAAATGGCAATCATAATGATCAAAGCACTGCAGAGCATTATATTAAAGCTGAAAATATAAATGTAAATTGATCTCATCCAACATCAGTTGTTGGATTTTGTAGCCCATTTTAAATCAGTATCGTTCGGGCCCCAGCACGGAGACATCTCTGCTCAGTAGTCAGTTTAGTCAGGTTAATCTAATCCAGCTCGTGCAGGAAGCTCCGGACTGGTTGAGAACACATCTGGATTCGACCACTGTGGCTTATTCACGCCTGTAGCCTTCTGGCCAATAAGGTCGCTCAAGGTCAGCCACAGCTAAACTCGCTGACCCTACGCCTGACTCGCTCAGCACTGATACAGAAAAAACAAGAGTGGAAAGAATAATCCGGAAGCGTTTGGTGATGCGTGCACGCTATTTAGGGTGCATGTTCAGGAATGTGGCCTTTGGGAGAGCTGGGAATAATCTTCCTACGGGACGTTTTCAGCGCACGGGAATTTTAATAACTACCATATCAAGCAGAGGGCAAATAAGTACCGGTGGTTTGGTGTGAAACGCTCCGTTCTACAGAAACTTACCAGAATGGTTCACAGTGGTGGTGATAGGAACCAGACGTCCACCTCTAAAAGCTCCCTCACAGAAACTACATGAAATGGTTATGAATTCACTGCCCCCGAGGTATTGTTTCGCAATAGTGCTGAGAAGGTTCTGTATCAACAATTCTGACTCGGCAAGTTTCTCTACAGCGGAGCGTTTCACACCAAACCACTCTGGATGACTCTGATTTGCATCTTAATCACTGTACTACAAACAAATTTGGAAAAATATGGAGTCCCCCTTTGAGTACACCTTGATATTTTAAGTAGGCTGATGTTAAATGAAACATTTCTTTAATGAAACGGTGGCCTGGTTTGCATGTTCAGTTTCTGAATGGCTTTCTAAGAAAGCTGGTTTCATAATTTGATTAGAAAGTTGCTAAAAACATCTCACGCTTAGGGACAGGTTCGGCCCTGTTACTGTCTCTGCACGCAAACTCAAATCTTCTGCATATGAATCCAAATTAGTCCCGGAGATTTTTCCGCTTTGGAGCTCTTTGATGTCCGAATTGTGCATAGATCTTTTTCCTTCAGTGATCTTTTACTCACACTGTATCTGTTCATTTTGAATGATTTTAAGACGGAGTTGTGGTCATTAAGAATGATCTGGCTATCAACTGTAATCTACACTGAATTGTCATCTAGTCCCAGTATTTATCACATGATATTATCCATTCAGTGATTACTGATAGTGCCATTTCCATCACTGTCTCAGAAACCTCCTGCAATGTCACTACACTCCCCTAGGACAGGGGTCGGGAACAATGCCGCTCTTTTACTGTCCTGTTGTGGCTCCACAGCAGAATTAGATTATTAGGTAAAAATAAAATAATCCTCCTTTACAGTAAAATAAAGCTCTGCTGATCGTTCAACACAGTTTAACAGTAAATGATCTTAAACTCTGGAGTTAATGTAGAACTGCCAATTCACCCTTTAACCCTGAAGGTTGGCGCGCAGTCATAGCAACACAGACAACAATCTTGCTTAGCTAGTATCTAACCAAACAGCAAAGAGAATGATTTAAGATAAACATCGATAATTTGGAGACGAATGGACTTATTTGCATTTATTATCGCTCCAGCTGGTTTCCTGATATGTTTAATCTGCAACAAGAAACTGACAAACACTAAAAAGTTGCGTAGCTTAAGTCAGCTATTCGCAACAGTTAGTTACATAGCTAGCCAGATTCTGGCACCTCAGGCACCATTTAAGGTGGAACAGGAAAATTCAACCAAGAAGCTGGAGAATGAGAAGCGACTTCAGCCTCGGAAAAAGTCGAACATTGAGAGACATTTTACAAGAAACTGTTCCACTTTTGAGGAAAAGTTTCCTGCTGGAGATGTGAGAAAAGCAGCTATAGCTGAGCTACAGCTTAAAGCAGAGCAAAGTAAGTCTGTGTTTTCATTTATGTATTTAGACATATTTACAGCCAAGATGGTAAAATGGACATGAAATGCTGTGGCTCCGAAGGTGGTTAGATTTTTGTTGAAAGGACGAAATGGCTCTTCTTAACGTTTGGGTTGCCAACCCCTGCCCTAGGAGGTTGCGAAAGCCTTATTGGGAAACTCTGTGCTAGATTAAGATTACATTACTGCAACACTGATGGAAAACTCTAGAACAAACTGCTTCAGTTAAACTGGATGTCAACAAACATGTCAGCTCCTTATCAACTTACTTAAAATATATCTGAAACTTCAAAACACTGCTCACTTCCACATTTCGATCTGTGGAAGTCATACTTTCTGAAAATAGGATGAAACCAAACATCTTCCAGACTTTTTATGGCTGCATTAATTATACAAATGGGCGCAAATCTCCCTGCCTACATCAAGTTTATTTAGTCTTCCGCTGCACCATATAATTAGGCTAAAAAAGGTCTGTCCTCTCCCCACTGTGCCAGTCATGAGCATCTCTCTGATTGGAACACAGCCCCCATGGAGCAGCTGCAGCCGATTTGGGTCACTGAGCTCCTTTCCTCATTGGGGTTCCAGTGATCAGTGGACAGTCGATTAATTAAGATTTTATAATGCTCTATAATGTTCATATGACACACATGGCCATTTGCACAGATTAAAGGGGAATTCCACCATTTTTTTCAGATTTCTGTATAACGAAACGGTTAAGATGTAAGATGAGTCGTTCAGAGTGGTTTGGTGTGAAACGCTCTGTTCTAGAGAAACTCACAGAAAGTTACTACATGAATTGGTTATGAATTCACTGCCTGATTTATTGTTTTATGACAGTTTTGAGAAGGTTTTGGCCTAAAATGTACTTTTTAAAGGCATTCGTAGTGGAGAGGTACATGCAGGGTGTTGTGAGGCAAAATATTCGCCAAAGAAAACATATTTTTTCAGATTAAACTCACAAGACTCGTGTAGGTTCACTGGTGGTTTTGGATAGTAAATAAAGTGGCTACATTTGTGTTGTAGACATGGTGACCCCTGGTTCCCATCACCACCACTGTAAAGTTTAACAGTTACCCATTTCACATCAAACCACTGAATAACTTCACGTCTGAATAATTAAATTATAAAAATCTGTGAAATTAGCTCTCCTTTCACACTACAGGAAGCGCAGGGGTCAAAATGGCTTTTAACATAAAAGAAGAAATTGGTTGTCAACAAATCTGAACAATGACAGCGGCAAAGTGGAAAGAAACGCAGGGACAATGGTTTGGTCAGTGATTTAACAGGAAAAAAAAGGAAAACAGTCCCCTTACCGAGTCCATCTTCATGCAGGTGCCGAAGTCGGCGAGTTTGAGGTGGCCGTGGCGGTCCAGCAGCATGTTGTCCGGTTTGACGTCGCGGTGGATGAAGCCCATGGAGTGGATGGCGTCCAGAGCCATGACCACCTCGGCCGTATAGAACTTTGCCCACTTCTCTGGAACATCATACGTACTGGTCAGGTTCACCAGGTCTCCACCCGGCATGTACTCCATCACCATGTACAGATAACGGTCATCCTGGAAAGCACAGCACAGCTAGAGAGAGAGAGAGAGAGAGAGAGAGAGAGAGAGAGAGAGAGAAAGAGAGAGAGATAGTTTTGTATAATTAAGTATATCAGTAAAACCACAGGAGTAATAATAAGTACAAGTGACTCTTATTAGTCCCACTTCACCTCCACATTTTAACCCATCCATGCAGTGAAACACCACATACACACTAGTGAACACACACACTAGGGGGCAGTGAGCACACTTGCCCGGAGCAGTGGGCAGCCCTATCCACGGTGCCTGGGGAGCAGTTGGGGTTAGGTGCCTTGCTCAAGGGCACTTCAGTCACGTACATAATAATAATAATAATGATAATAATGTTTATTTATACAGCACCTTTCATACATTAAAAATGCAGCTCGAAGTGCTTCACAATGCACAGTAAAAACAACAAAAGAAGAAAAGAAAAAAATAAATATAAAAACAAAATATAATCAACAAATAATAAATAGCACAAAAGGGATATATTAATAATTACAAATCAAAAAGCACAAGAAAAAAGTATAAATGAAAATTATATATATATATATAAATTAAAATGCAACTAACAAGAACATAAAAGTAACAGTAATATTCCAGTAAAAACAAAGGAAACAATAAAAAAAACTAGTTAAACGCTGAAGTAAAGAAATATGTTTTTATCTGTTTTTAAAAACATTGACAGAAGGAGCCTGACGGATGTTTCTCGGTAACATGTTCCAGATCTTTGGTGCATAAAAACAAAACGCTGCCTCTCTGCTCTTTTTAAGTTTCATGCGTGGAATATGGAGAAAGAGCACTGGATGATATTAAAGCTCGATTTGGAACATCATCTATCAGCACCCAGAAACGTATGAAGGTGCTAAACCATTAAGATTAAAAATTAGTGGTAAAATTTTATAGTCACTCTAAAAGGAAACAAGCAGCCAGTGCAGTGAAGCTAAAACTGCTCTAATATGATCCTGTTTTCTAGTTCTTGTTAATATTTTTGATGCTGCATTTTGCACAAGTTGTAGTTTGTTGGTTGTACTTGCAAAAAGTCCTATGAACAAAGCATTACAGCAGCCAAGTCGAGAAAAAACTAAATCATGGATCAATTTCTGAGCATCTTGCAGACAGAGATGAGGTCGAACTCGTGCTGTATTCCTTAAAATTAATATGTGCTTTAAAAGTTAAATCAGAGTCTAGAGTTACACCAAGATTCCTAACTTCAGTTTTTATTTGTAGAGTCAGATTTCCAAGTCTTTCATACACTTTTTTCCTCTTTGCTTCAATACCAATTATAATTATTTCTGTCTTTTCTTCATTAAGCTTTAGAAATTGCTGTTCATCCAGCTAACTATGCTGGACAGACATAGAGCGAGCTTATCTACTGAACTTACATTGTCTGGAGCCACAGATATATATAGCTGTGTATCATCTGCATAACTATGAAAAGTGATGCCATGCTTCCTAATAATCTGTCCCAGTGGCAGCCCATCCAA